TTCTTGGGTTTGGTCATAATAGCAGCTTAACAAAGTGTCAATCAACATAGATTGCTGTTGTATCTATAAAATACAAAATGTTGTATCTATAAAATGAATTAAAAAATAAAATACATACAAAAATGTATGTATTTTGGTGGCATCTTTATATTGAATATCAACTTGTTTGTGCCTTTTTATTCAAAATCGATTATATGGAATAATTATTGTCTGGTGCTTTTCTTCTTACTTGTCGGAGTCAGAATTTGCCTCTTGAATCCAATTCTACATGATATTTGCATTACACCTTTTCCCTTAGATTGTATCATTTCAACCAGGAAATTTTTAGAAATTGAATCCATTCTCTTTCTCTCACTGACAGAACTTTATGCATTGGTACATTAGTTAAAATCAAAAGTCCATCTTTTTGCCGATGTTTTTCTTTAACATGTTCCTATGAAGCCTGCCTTTATAATTTGCAATTTGGCATCTCACAGATGTACTGTACCAGAAAAAGGGGACCATTGTAATGGTGCCATTCTTGACATGGTCGATGGGGTGGGTCTTGGCAGCATCCAGGCAGCAGAAGACTCCCTTCAGGAGCTTGGCTTCAACATAAAAGCTCTTCCATCCTAACTAAAAGGGCAAGAAACAATAAATGGTATTCATACACATAGGAGTACAGTCTGCTGAGAAAATTCAATGTTATAAGCTCCCACCAATATTTAACAGAGGCAGCCTTTTTCCTACTGCCTCTTAATACAAAATGTAGTATGCCTATGTGATCGAATTATGAACTGTAATTAGTTCCTACTGTTCATTTCTAAGATAAATAATTTGGCACAAATAGTACCAAAGACAATCATGCATAACTGAAGTGTATTGTAAGAGATCTGTACACCAGTGTAGGAAAGCAGCACATTGGCATGAAGCTAAGTTAACGCCTCTTTCTTTTTCTAATTGGGATTTCCTAAATTACAGAGAATTGTTTTTTATTTAATGTACTATATCTGGCAAAATATGCTTTTGATTAGGAGCTGCCCAGATTTGATTATAAGATGGCTAGCTATATAAATGTTTTAAATGTTATTTTATTTTATTTGCCCTTGGTTGGGGTATGTTTGGCATACTGGAGGTAGTTAAGCGACTGAGATAAGACCCCACTTCCTTCCCGTGTGCATCTGCCATCTTTGTTAATTTTAAATGAGTTTTAGTGTCAGTATTTATTGTTTAAAAGTTTTATTGTTTTATCTTGTTGCTTTTATTGATTATAAGCCACCTAGAAGTGCCTTTAAGAAAGAGCGGCAGCATACAAGTTAATACATAAATAAAAACTATACTAATTAAATTTAAGAAACACAGCCGGTCATGATTTCTGTTTCATATGTAGCATTCAAACAAGGAATTGTCAAACAGAGAGTGCATCATGGTTAATTAATTCTTCTACTTAAAAGTGGGAAGGTGGAAGATATTTAACTTCTTGTGGAAATTAATCCACATGGATTGTTCGTTTGTTTGGGTCAGGGGTCACGTGTTATATTTGTCCCACATCCCTAAAGTGTCCATCTTATGTTGAAGTTGAAACAAGATGAGGCTAGCAAGAAAAAAATGGATGTGACAAAATAGATAAGACTTCAAACTCTCAGAAACATTAATATTATTTAGTTCTGTCTCATTGTACTGGATCTCAGAGGCCTATGAGTAGTTGATGTACTCTGATGCTTCATATTCAGCATGGCAGTTCTATTAAAATTACAATGAAATAGCAGCTTATTAATAGATATCTGGCATACAACACAAAAAAAGTGAGATTCTTCACGATGAACCTATTAATCCTATGAGGTAAATGTGTGGGAAATTGTAGAATGCTAGAACAGAGAAAACACTTCTGCACCTTGAATAAAAACAGATTCTTCTGGATTAAAATAAAATTGTCCACCTCCAATAGCATCCATTCAAATATATCCACTTAAAGCCAACTATGAAAGCAATGAGTGCTAGCCCGCATTTTACATCTAAATTACATAGTTAACTGAAATAACAATTAAGTAGACCACCATTTCCATAGTATGGTTCTTGAAGGAACATTTTTTAATTGGATATATCTGAAGAATCTTTGAACAAACGTAGAAGCAATTTTTGAAAGTTCAATCTCTAACTTTGTTTAGACAAATGAAAGGATAATTCCCACCCCTTAGCTCCAAATCATAATGGTGTCCTTTCAAAACCTCTCTTTGGCTTTTGCCACTTCTTTAAAACTTCAGTCTATATCTAGTTAATATTTAGTTATTCTCTCGCTTTAGAAATTAACATTGGCTATTAAATGTTAATGAAATCTAAATAAAAAAGATGATAATGCTTACAGATTGATATCTGGTAACTGCATTCATGCCATATTCTTGATAGCATTACAGGAATGGTTTGTCATAGTTATATTCCAGAGAATTTTTGGGACTTCCCTGTCTAACTACTAATAGTCATTAAATTCCCAGATGTTTCCCATCCAAGTATTTACTGGAGAGATTCTGCTTAGTTTATGAGTTCAGCCAAGGTCAGTTTATGTCTGGCCTCCCAGGTAAGCAAGACAGGAAACATGGCCAGATGAGCTAATTCTACTTTATGTTAAGGCTACATTAACAGAATCGTGAAAGTCTAGATCTCTCACAGTCACTTTTAACAGCTTGATTAATTAGGGAAGGTCCTTTTTAAGTCTCTTCCTGTGACCATTAAGCGTGTGCTAAAATGCAAAAAACAAAAGTGTGCACCCATGATCTAAAGAGAGGTATAGAATCTACAAAAAGTTCAATTACTTTCTGGTGCCCTGGGAACCTGAAATTTGAATAGCTATTTTATTTCCACTTCTCTGCTTTTCTTGCTTTTTATAGAATTTTCTCTGTGCGGGTTCATCACCTATAATGGAGAGGAAAAAAATGTTGTAGTCTGTCTGTCATATTAATGATCACTAATATTGATATTATGATGGGACTCATAGGTCAGCACATTTAGAGGATGCTATTCTCCTACATTTTGCAACATACCATTGTTTGATATAGAAATATTGTGCAGGGAACTGTCACCTTCTTAGAGTACCCAGCAGCAAATATTCTGATCATAATTCTTTCACTTGAAAAAAAAAAGTAACCCTAGACATGGAGTTGCTGAAATTGAAGAATATATAGGGACATGATTAGACATGAACATTTTCTCTAACATGTAATATACACCTATTATAGGGAAGGAATGCAATTTGCAGAAAGTATTTTCCTTCTAACTACTAATACAGTTGGCAGAGAAAATAATCAAACAGAGATTTTTGTTCCAAAATTGAGAGATTTGTGCAAATAAGAACCAACAGCTTTTATGTTTTAATACAGAAGCATATGGGGAATATTCTAGTAATATAAATTTGATTTATTAATCTACGATAAATTTGGGGATAGACACGATGGGATATACAGGGTGTACCAAAGGTCAATTCCCATAAACCAATCAAAATATGATTTTGTTTTATTATTTTTATTAATTTTTTTCAGATGATGTTACTATACTTAGCAATGTTCAAATATACGAATTACTGAGATCTGGAGTTTCCATCCAATTGAATAATCCTCACCTGGATAGCTAATAAATAATTGCTGTGATAAATTATACTAAATGGGGGGGGATATTTAAAGAAGCAACTTCTGATCTTCTTTAGGAAGTTACAGGGAATATTTAATATTATTTTCCCCCTCCAAAATTAGATAACCCTTCCTATACCTTTTTAATCAGTAAATTCAGAAATCACCAGTTCATTTTTAGCCATTTTCAGCAAAAAATCCAGAAAGAATTTCCAATCTTTTATAAAAGTTGTTCCTTCTGTAATCAAATAGGTCAGTTTAGCCATTTCTGCAAGCTGTGGCATCTTCACAGGTTCCATTGGCTATTAAGGTGTTGTCATTTAAATACATTTCATGTTACATCCCCAGAGCAAGGATGGGCAATTTTTTTGCACCTCAGGTCATGTTTCTTTTCAAATTCAGCTATGAAATATGTGGTGATAAGAGCTTTCTGCACCAGATGACCAGTCTGTCAAAGAGACATGCAGTAGTGAGAATAATGTAGTATTTCAATTATCTTGAGATATGCTAGGAATCTAACTGCTGTGGTAGTTTTCCTAGCAATTAAGCTTGGAGCACCTCCCTCTCAGCCCTCTGCTTAATGGAACATTGTTTTAAACTGTGATAAAAATTATCCATTGAAAGTTATCTTTCTGTCAGATAAAGTTGAAAAACAGTCTTCGTAATATTTACAGTTGTCCTGATTCCATTATAATGTATCTTGGCCTCTCTTCAAAGTTTTAAGAAGTCTATCAGTAATAATTTGGTGGTATGAATTATTTCAGATTATTTTTGATGGAAAGGCTCTAAGTTTGAAATAGCAAAGTAATGTAAAATACTGTTGATCTGTCCTTATGTTTATGTAACCACTGATATTCAGAGTAGATTTTAGGATACTCATCACAAATGGGGAAATTTATAAATCCTAATATCTTTCTCTGAGGCCAGAGCCTAATTGTGTAGTGAGCATGATACTATATGGCTATCACTACTGTGGATCGTTTCTGATGAAGTAGTGATTATTTGAGAAGATTGTCCCAATTGTTTCTTGACCCATGTCCACAATAGTTCATCTATCTCATAGTAGAACTTCCCTGATCTATTCTGTCCATTACATGTTACAAAATCTGTTTTGGAGGATATTCTAATCTGCAGAAACAGATTTAAGACAGCTATGTAGGGAAATAGGAATTCACTCAGCTAAAAAGATGTTTGGAGGTCATCGGACCATTCAAATTATATTTTATTCTTTTTTACAAATGGTGTGATGTTGTACTATTTAATTATCATTTGAGCTTTATAAGCAAAGCATTATGGTGCCATTGTGTTGCAGTGTTCATACCAATTTTATATTCTTTAAAATACCAAAAAGCCTAAAATATTTTCTTTTTTATAATATAATTTCTTATTTTACCTCCATAGACATCAGGCATCCAGAAGAACTCTCTCTTTTAAGAAAGTCCCGTGATTCAAACAAAAAGAAAAAGAAAAAGCTGGATGACCAGTATGAGGACGAAACACTTGAGCTGGAAGGACCACTAATCACACCTGGATCAGGTAGAAAACCCCCCCCCCATAGCATGAGTATGCAGAATATTGTGAAAAGGGCTTGGAGGGGGAAAAAATCCTTTCACATTTACTAGTAGTAATTTTGTTTAGTCACATGATTCCTTGATGGCTATGAGAGAAATGGCATTTCAACCTAAGTATGCATTGGAGAGCTAAATAATATTTAGTAATTACAGTGTTTAATATCCACTTACTCAGTTCTGCAAAGGCAGTAACACTATTTAAATAGTATTTTCACTATTGAGCCTAACTTGTATAGTAATTTAGCATGTATTAGCATCAGTTGCCCCCAGAGATAAGGAGAATCCATGACCTCAATGCCTTCCGTCGTTCCCTTAAAACCCATCTTTTCCAGCAAGCCGGGTTGGCTTAAGAAGAAATTTTTAAATTCTTTTAATCAGTCTGTGATTTCTTAACTTTTGGGCCAAAATTTATATATATTTTTAAATGTTTTTTTTTAATATTTGTATTCTATGTTTTTTATCTTGGCTGTACACCGCCCTGAGTCCTCAGGGAGAAGGGCGGTATATAAATTGGAAATTAAATTAAATTTAAATTAAATAATTGTCTTGAGCTTTATGCTAAGTTTGAGGCAATTTTCTGCATATATTCTAGCTTGTTCCTTGCCAATTTGTTTATTCTGTACTAAATAGGTAGTAACTGAGTTTTAGGTCTGGTGAAGTGCTAGCTTATATGACTATTACTTCTCTACTGCTAGCTTATACTCTATTCTCTTTTACTCCCAGGTAGATCACAGAAAGTTTCAAAACATTCAATTTTATCCTTGTTTGTTATTTAACAACAGAGTGTACAGATTTTTCCCATTTTAAAAATACTGTTGTTCATTGCTTCTTTAATTATGGAATGTATAATTTGCTCTGTGACCTGTTTGTAAAAAAGAGATTAAATAGAAATGTTGAATTTAAGCAAAGTTGGGCAGTTGTAGGGTTTCCAAATATTTTAAGAACAGTTGTGACCGAACCTTATACTAAGATGCTGCTGCACTGAATATGTTTCCAGAACAGATTGAGAGGAATTTAAACTTGCATAAATGAACCCCAGGCCAATGGAGAAAACTGTAGGAGGTTTTCAAATGTGGAGTAAAATAGATTGAAATATGAAGGGAACAAATTCCATACTTGCAGGAACCTCCATAGAAAATGTTTTTTAAGATGCAGTGTTGAAATTCTTTATGGAGGGGAGGGCATGATTGAGCACTGAGTTACCAACTTCAGACTATTGGAGTAGGTCATAAACATACCCAAAGTATGTGCTATTCAGAGCCTTGAATGCCATCAGCACTACGTCAGTTGTAATATACTGCTCTGTGGACAAGACAATGTTGTCTGTTGTGCATTGGCACAGCAATTGTATCTTTTTAATCATCAACATAACAATCATAAAAGCTTTAAGCTTTACCCATCTGCTTTAAGCAGTTCCACCAGATATTAATTTAAAGTTCTTTGAAAACCTCTACCCTGTTTCCCCCAAAATAAGACATCCCCTGATAATAAGCCCAATCGGGCTTTTGAGCGTATGGCAATAAGGCCAAGTGCTTATTTCAGGGTTCAAAAAAAAATATAAAAGACAGGGTCTTATTTTCGGGAAAACACGATACATATACCCTGGGCCTGCAAAAAAAAAAACCCCATCTAATGTATGATGCCATACATTAGAAACAGCTCTTTCTATTGTTGTTGTCAGCAGGAACTGCTGATATTCTTCTGAAGTCTGGCAATGCCAGTCCCAGGAACCCCTGTGGAGAAATGTAACAGATCATTTTACTAAAGCAAACCTGAGTGGAAATTTAATGCCCAAACATCTTTCCTGTCTCCTACTTAAAATGCTAGCCTCCTCTTTTTAAACGGCAACCGGAGATATTATGTGCCAGCAAATGACTTCATGTCAAATGTAACTTTTCTTGCCGCTTTACTGGATGATCAGATGCTTGAGATTAGAATTCTAAACCTGCTTTCTAGAACATCAGGCCCAGTGAAATCATCGGAAGAGATTTGTATAATTACCATCAGTTTCCCAGTGTTTTCAGATTTCTACGTGTGGATATGTAATTGAAGTTCCCAATTTATGCAAGAAAGGAAAATGAAATAATAATTTGAGAGGTGGCTATAATAACGTTAACATGAATAGAATCTTGTTTTGGTTGAGTTCTTTTACTTTTCTCTTCCTCTTGTATTCATTTTATTTATAACTTACTTTATTTTAAAAATTGAGACCAGTATCAGTGTTTAAAGATTAATCGATGAGTGGGTGCTTTGCCCAGTTAATTTACCTCAAGGCCTTCATATGTATTTATCTAAGCCACCAAAAAAAAAAAAAAAAAAAACTACAAAAACCTTGGACCATTTCTGTTTTCCCAGCACAGCTTTTTTGCTGTAAAGTGAAAAGAGTCAGTGATCCTAAATCTAGTCTTGTTTGAGTGTTTTTTCTCCCTCCTCTCCCAGATATGTTAAAATTGTGGACAAGGTTCCCTTTTCCTCCCGTGAGAATGTCCAAACTGGGAAATACTTCAATTACTTGTATGAAGGAATCTCTTTGCAGTTATTCCCTAGCTTCTTTCTGTTTTGTTTTAAATATAGAACCAGAAATGGCGTTATAGCCAGGTAACTGCAAAACCACTTTTATATGCAATATGAGAAGAGTCATCAGATTCAAAAGTTCCAAATTGTATTCCTCAGTAGTTTCATGCTGAACAGATGTAACCCTGTGATTACATTGGTCAATCACTTAAGTGTGAAAAAGTAGTCTGCCAGCACTATCTTCTGGGCATAGCCAGGAAGGGCCAGAATCCTGCAAAATTGTATCCCAAAGATTAGTCTCACCAAAGAATAATTAAAAAAATAATGCTGGATGCTCAATAGTACCAAAATCATTAAGAATTTCAAGATTAGTAGACCATGCTCTTCCCATCCAATTTGACATAAGTTATCTGTTAAGGCAACCAAATAATCTTAACAAAATCCAGGCCGAGGACATAATCGAAATTAATTAATTAATGTCATCCAGATGCATCTGAGGCCTTCATCTTCTTTCCCAGAAATAAAATGTTTTAGATTATCTTACAGTGTCACAGATCTCCTGGATCAGAAAAGATTTTTTTTCAATAGGAATCTTATTTTCATTATGCTGGGGGTAACACTTCCCACCTATGAAGAAGCATTTGATCTGCTCTCCTAAGCATGAGGTAGTTTACTCAAGGAAAGACAAGAATTCCTGGAAGCTTGGCATTCAGACAAAACACCCCTCAGTACATTCACAGAGATAAACCACATTTACACAAGATTCAAAACAGAGACAATAAAATACCTAGGAAGTAAAAAGACTAAAACACATCTCTTCCAGCAGCCCATAATCAGAGAAACAGGGATGATCAGCATCAGACAAACAATAACGTGGAAAACAATAATGAAGGAACCACCAAGGAGGAGACTATATCCCCACCGAAACTGGCAGGGCAAGCTACTACAGAACCCACACTCATGCACTGATGATGTTATCCAGCTGGGTAATGAAATATGAGTTGGGTTGAGAGAGACAAGGGTATAGGGGAAAAGGAAGACTGCTTTTCTCCCTATACACTATCTTCTCAGCCGAACTCATCTCATGGGGTTGTTGTGAGGAAAATAGGAGGAGGAAGGTGTGTTGATATGTTCACTGTCTTGAATTATTTGTAAAAACAATAAAGGTGGGGAATGAATAAATAAGCAAGCAAGCAGGCTGCATTATTAACCTTTAAACTGCCTTCATGTAGAAGTCCAAGGTTAATCTATTCAACTTTAAATTGCTCACGGCAATCATGGCTTGTCCCTTCCAACATCTTGGAGATTCTACCCAGAACAAAAAAGCAATGCAAACCTTTGGTATGGAGGTAGTGAAGGCAGAAAAATATATACTCTTTGCTGCTTCTTTTCATCAAAGAAGCCACAATCAATGCTTGTTTTGATCCATTGTTGTTTTGATCCATTGCAAGAATTCCCACGCATGTACTTCAGCTATCACCCAGTCTGCATTATTGTTTTCAGTTCCTTAGTAAATTAAGAGGCTGATCTGTCTCCATAGGTGGGAGAGATTTCTTTAAAATTTGTAGTCAATGGTTTGGGTTGTCTGAATATTCCACAAATCCACAAGACTATTTTTCAGCTATTTTCACTTAACACAGAATTATTAAACATTAATTTGTGAGTAATCTCTTTCCTGATTATACTATAAGCACAATTTCAGTATTTATTTATTTAGCATTGAGAAAAAATAGACCTCATCTAAGCGGGGAAAAGCCATGTGTGTACAATTTATTTGTTTGTTTGAGTTGAAAAATGATGATAGCACTGGGAATTAGATTTTGAATTATTCACTTCATTTCAAATTAGTTAAATAGTCATGGATTCTGATCGTGCCTTTGCTGCCCACACAAGAATTCTAGAGCATTTTGCCTGTTCTGCTTTAAAAAATACACATCAAATGTTTTGAATGCTAACTAATAAGTTCTACTCTATGTGTTTGCCTGGTTCCATTAGATTGCATGCTAATGCTTGAGATTCTTTGACCTTCTTAATGATAAAACAGGGATTTTAAGTACACAGATAAACACTGGACCAGGGTTGCTCAACCTCATATCTACAGTCCTTGCAAAGATCTAGCTACTCAAGGCCCTATCCTTTCCTCTCACTTATTTCAACATGCAGGTTTTTATAAATGGCTGTTGTTTAATAACTGATTCAGCACTCTCAACAAAAGAGCAAATCCGCAGATCCTCTTCGAATTCTGTTTTTTCTTGCTCTCTGCATTCTTTCAAACAACCTGGGTAATAAATAAACTAACCTGCTGTTTTGTAACAGTGCTTTTTCTTTTTCTGTTAAAATGCGTGAAGCAAGTTAGGCTTATTTTTCCAAAACAATGATTATTTTGAAATATGCTTACAATACTTGGATGGTTTCATTCTGAGTTAACCTGGACTATGTTAAATAAGAATTACTTTTTTTTTAAATTTCAACAAAGAACCAAGATCTAGATTCCCTCCTTCCATATTTAAGAGGTTCCAAGGATGTGGTGGGGGAGAGAGCAGGATTAAACCTGACTCCTCACCACAGTGTTCTTTGTGCATACCCATCTCTTCATTTCCGGACCTCACATGTTGAGCAGGGATGGCTAAAGAGGAATTCTGTGTGGTTTTGCTTGAATAGCTGATAATAATTTTCTATGCAGTCCAAATTCCACTGAAACAATGACCATGGATATGCAGTTAATCACGTTCAAACACTTTTGTATGCAGTTCCCACTCAGATCTTCCTGTTCTGTAAGGAGCATTTCACACTAAAGGAATGGGGGTCAATCACACATAAGAACGTAAAAAAAGTAGAGTGATTTTGTGAAGCCTTGAGCCCCTACACATTTTCATCTTTCACCTATTCAGACAAAGTAATCAAACAGGACATAGAAATTACTGCAGAGAAAATCATTGTTTAGATCTTTGGTGAAAAGCAACTCCAGGAAGCCCAGTCGGCAATGGGAAAATCTTGAAGGAGTGGAAAGGATAGTTTTCCTGTCCAAAATTCCTCTCTCCACCTTTTCTTTACCAAGAACATATGAGTATCCTTAATTTTCCTGTGATGCCTGGAAGAGCATTTCTTTTTCTTAAAAATGGAGGGAAAAGAAATCTGTGGTGACATGATTATTTCTGTTAACTTTCTAGGGCTTTTACTGAGGTTTTTTTTAAAAAAAATAATTATAATTATGGACTGCCTTATTTCCCTAGTTGGTTTGAGAGTCTGGATCATTCAGTATTCTTCATCAGCAAGATAAAAGATTTTTTTTTAATTACAAAGCCAGGGAAACCTAATACTCTGTTGAAGAACAAATACGGACAATGTGATGCAATTTTGAGCCTGGTTTAGCTCAACAGACAGAAGCACTGTAATTTAACACCAGCTGTCTGCAATTAAAGTAAGATCGAATCTCACCAGGCTCAAGGTTGACTCAGCCTTCCATCCTTTCTAAGGTAGGTAAATTGAGGACCCAGTTTGTGGGGGCAATAAGCTGACTTTGTATAAATATACAAAAGTATGAAGGCTATTGCTTAACGCATTGTAAGCCACCCTGAGTCTCCGGAGAAGGACGGCATATAAATCAAATTAAAAAAAAAAATTGAGGATACCTTCATAAAATGGCTATTGCAAGGGTCTTGCTTGCTCATGGAATAGTTACCCTAGTGAGGATGGTGGTCTTAACACAATCATTTTGTGTTTTGGAAGACAAGACTTAAGTTCAGCTGTTCAAGGAGACTATTGGGCACCCAGAAAGATATTCAGAAGCCCTTTGCTTTCTATATGTCATATTATCTGTCTGATCTAATCAGTAATTCTAAATTGGAAATGTTTAAGTAGGCATCTGTCTACAGGTAACTAAGAGTTGGAAGAAAAGCATAATTTGAAGATTGACTGTCCCACAAGCTAGTTTATGAGAAAATATGCATCAGATCAAAAAAGTGGACAAAATGATTTTTTCCCTCTTGTCTATAATCAAACCTATTGCATCAATTGCTGTGCAACATACTAGAAAAAGATTCCCCTGGTATAAAACATATGGACTTGTGCCAGATAAAGGAAGAGGGACTGTTCAGCTAACTTTTTTAAAAAATGAAAGGCACTAGAACCATGATGGCGAACCTATGGCACGCGTGCCACAGGTGGCACGCATAGCCATATTGGTGGGCACATGAGCTCAGCTCCGCCAGCTGATTTTCAGGCCTTCTGGGCCCACCAGAAGTAGGGAAACAGGCTGTTTCCTGCCTCCTGAGAATCTCTGGGGGTGGTGGGAAGGCCCGTTTTTCTCTGTCCCCAGCCTCCAGAGCCTTTCTAGGAGTCTGGGGAGGGTGGAAACGGCCTTCCCCACCCACCCACCCCCCGGAGCCCCTCCAGAGACCCGAAACGGCCCGTTTGCCAACTTCCGGTGGGAACCACCACCACCCCGCTCCTGGCATGCAATGGCAAAAGGTTAGCTATCACTACACTAGAATCTGTAGCGTCTTAATATTAGTCTTTCGTGCGCAAATGAATTGCATGATTCATTTTGGGTAAATGAAGCAGAATGTATTAAGCTGAATAGTTTGCAAGAAGGATGCATCTAAATATTGGAGGTAGCATCTGCCTGCTCATTGCTTTCTCCTGCAAGATATGGTACAGTGCAGATAATATTCTATAAAAAGAATCTTCCGCAGAGTAATAAATAGTTGGGGTTTGTTAATTTATTTCAAAAGTGATAACAGACTAGGCAGGTTTAAGTGAATTAACCAGAATTCTAGTAATGTCATATATGTCTGTGAGTATATTCTGTGTCTGCACTGCTTTGATATTAAAATCAACAAAATTGTTCCTTATGTTCGGAATATAATTTCATTTACTAATAATACAATTTTGTACATGTAATTACCCAGTGTCAGCTTTGGAAGCCAATAGATAATTCAATCTCTATCTTTCTCTTTCTTTGCTTATATTCCCTATCTTGAATTTATTATTTACATTTTAGCAGTAAGTGACCAATTATAAAATATTTTGCATATTTGGATGAAATTTTGTTTCCTTATTCAACAAATTTATGTGGCTGCCTGTTTAACCAGCAAAACTATAATCTCCCAAAATAGTTCAGCTGTTGATTCTTAAAGTCAATTTCAACAATTGCTTCTTAATAATTCTCCCTGTTATTTGTTCCATAGGTCATCTAAAACTAAACTGTAAATGAATCCCCAAATAAAATAGTTTCATCAGATAAATATTTTATGGGGATGTTTTCTGATAGTCACAATAAGTTTAATATTAGTTCAATCTAGTGGTGATATTATAGAGTGAAGCTCTTTATAGAAATGATACTATGTAGTATTGAATGTGGAAATAGATACTTTGTGAATAGAACATTTATTTTGCTTTTTCTTCCAACTACCATCTTAATTAACCAGTAAGCATAAGGGAGAATTGGCTTTTCTTCAGATTCATTTCTTTTTGTTTGAACATTTATCTTAAGTTTATCTTAAAATAACTGTATGGCGATATGATCAGTATATTATATGAAACAAATATGGACATTCAGAATTTTGATGGATTTTAATTGGATTTGAACAGAGCAGGGGCAGGGCAGCCCATCCATCATCATATCCTATGATATTCTCTCCCTCCTTAACTCCATCTACCTACCTACCTATCTACTCACCCACCCACTCACCTACCTATCTGGATTTTTTGTTACAAAGAATAGCATTATTTACCAAGTGGTTTGAATAGGCTTTCTGTTCAAGCTGATGTAGAGACAGCAAATAGCAATGCATGTTAGCTTAATGCCTGCTGTATTGAAATGTGCAGTTGTTCTGAACTATTTTAAGAAATATTGGTTTTGAGACTGGAAACCACATACTGTGCTGAAACCAAGCAGCCTGTTTCTGTGTACTTCAGGAACACAGAAAAGAAAAATTACTGCTTTCAGGACTTTTTCAGATATCTTACCTAAATTAGTAACATTTTAATGCTCCGACTGTAGTGTTTCCTTTTCATGTTATGTAGTATTTTCTTGTCATGTCTTTTCATGTGCTTAGTTTTTATCATGTCTAAATCTCATAGAAATTAATTTTCTTCTCTTTATTAAACTTATCTCTTATCATGTGAAAATTTTAAAAAATGTAAAATATCTCAACTTGAAGTCTTAGTTTTCTTGATGACATCCTTGAATATCTTACTACTGTACTTTGCCTATTTTCATCCTTGTTGTTCTTATTCTATTCCTTTCACTGCCTTTACCTTACTGTCTTCTATTTTCCTTTCTTTCTTTCTTATAGGCTCTGATGTTCTTTACATTGGCCCAGTAAAAGGTGAGCCTCATGTGGATAGGACTTTTCTCTCCTGTCTTTTCTGCTTCCTGTTTCTCTGAACTATATGAATCTGAAAACCAAGGAACTTCTTGGCTATATTTTGACCAAGTGGTGTCTCACAATTGTCTCTCACAGTTGTCTCTTGGTTATATTTTGACCATATGGTATCTCTAGGTATTTGTTACAAAATATGTGATTTAGGTTCTGAGGTTTTTTTTTTCTAATTGGGAAAACAGTTAATATATATTGAGTGCGTCGGGCCCTAAAAACTTATTTTTTTCAGTTAGCCTGTCTGTCTTGATTTTAGGGTTAGTTTTAAAATTGATATATTGATTTTAAATTGACAAGTTTTAAATTACGGGCCAAATTTATAAATTATTTTAACTCTATTTTTAACTGTAATGTTATGTATAGATGTTTTTATTTTGGCTGTTCACCGCCCTGAGTCCGAAAGGAGAAGGGCGGTATAGAAATTTGAATAATAAATAAATAAATAAAATAAATAAATAACACAGTATTTTAATGTTCTATCAGAAACTGAGTGTTAGAAATAGAAATTATTCATATTTTTTATACTTTATATATGCAGTGTAACTATGAAGTAAAGGTACAGATCTGTCTATTTTGACTGGAAAAATGTTGCTTAACTGAAAGTGGAGCCTAGAGTTTTCCATCATTTGCATAAGAAAAGCTCTGATATTACACCCACATTCTTTTTCCACAAGGCCTAAATCTATAGCAGGTAGCAATAACATATCTCCGTCCATGTTTCTCAACAATAAGTACCGAGAACCATATTGCTTTTGATATTTTAGATAATGCATGTGCTTGAAAAATAATAGCCATGAAGAGCTGTATAATCCATTTGTTTGTTTAGATGTATAAGCTGCCCAATTCAAAAAAGAAACACTGCATATAGCAATAAATGAATGCAATATATAATTATAAAATGGAGAGCCAAGTACGTAACAAAACAATCAAAAGGGGATTGTCACACAATTGGTCAGTAATGACAGAGGGAAGAGCCAAGTCTTAATGGCTTTCCTAAAAGCAAGAGTTAGGGCCTGAGTATATTTGGGACTGGAGTATCTTTCCAGAGTAGACACAGAATTTACAATATTTATAATCTGTCCTACATGTTGAGGGCCCAGAGGAACTAATAAAAATCAAAGTACAGCCTTGTTTTAAAGCACAGGTATCAAACTTAAGGCCTGGAGGCCTGATCCAGCCTGCAGGTGCTTAGATCTGGCCCGTGGGGCCACCTTGGAAACAGTGAAGGACCGGTCCGCAAGGCATCTGCCAGGGCTCGCGAGGGCCGTGTGCCACCCTCCCAAGCTCCGTTTCACTGGCAGAGGGTTGCAGGAGGCCTTTGCAGCTGAAAACAGAGCTTGGGTGCCCATTTTCTCTGGCAGAGCGCTCAGGCCACCACAGGAGCCCCCCTGACACAAGTGACATCATGCTGGCCACACCCACCCTGGCCATGCCTACCCCCGAGGCCAAACACAATCCTGATGTGGCCCTGTTTTAAAGCCATCTAAATAGCATCTTCTAATTGTAGCTTTCTTAATTAAATTATATGCTGTTTGGAGAACTTCTCCGTTGTCCTGAATATCCTACCATTTAGCTTCACTAAGTGATCTAGGTTGTCTTATTACAAAAAAATAAAATGGATGGGGTTTTGTCTATCACATGCATTTTTTTAAATATCTTAATCACATAGGTGACCACTTTCCAAAACATCATCATGTGGTCACAGTTAAATTCTGGACGCCATATGGACCTCATAGTCACATGTTCCTTTATACCTGATATCCCTTCTTATTTCTGCAGCATTCACTGAAAAAATTGAGTTCTGGAGTTATTGGTATTGTAAATCCTCTTCTGAATGGAGTGGACCAAGTATGGAATACTAATTTGATTCTCCCTATCTTTCTCCAATCTAGGGAATGTATATTCAAGTCCAGGGCTTTATAGCAAAACTATGACACCAACTTATGATTCTCATGATGGGAGTCCTTTATCACCAACTTCAGCTTGGTTTGGAGACAGTGCTTTATCAGAAGGAAATCCAGGTATACTTGCCGTCAGCCAGCCAATCACCTCCCCAGAAATCTTAGCCAAAATGTATAAGCCACAGTCACTTCTGGATAAAGCCAAGATCAACCAGGGGTAGGTTTAAAAACATTAGTTTTGGAACTTGTTTGTGTGAAAACATTGCTTTGTAATGACTGAGCTAGTGTTTTTTTCCCCTCTTTTGGAAGATGGCTAGATTCTTCAAGATCACTTATGGAACAAGAGGTGAAAGAAAATGAAGCTTTACTACTGCGGTTCAAATATTACAGCTTCTTTGATTTGAATCCTAAGGTATACAGTTATGTTAACTATAATATGGTCAGGATTTTCAGTGCATGTACATCGGTTAGTGACCTGGCTGCATACTGTGATCAGTTTAGAATTTTTTCACAGAACTGCTAGGAAATTGTTGGATTATAAGACATAAGAAGCAAGATAAAGGCCAGTAAGGCAAATAATTTAATAATAACAGAATAACGTAGAGGGGTATTTAAGGGAGAAAATAATGATCAGTATGCTAATGCTAATTTCCAAATTGTATTTTAAAAGCTATGATTTTATTTGATACCAAAAGATCCATAATTTCAGTAATATTGTGGCTTCCAGGATTAGGATATTCCAAAACCACAGCAAGGCTGTTTTCTACATCTCCATGTAATACAGGTAGTCCTCAATTTATGACCATAGCTGAGACCAGAGTTTCCATTAATAAACAAGGCATGTGTCATGGGTAGGCACATACTTGGGAAATAATCATCAAAGTAATGGGATACCAAACTGGTAAGGGCTTCAAATGTTATTAGTAAAACCTTGAACTGACCTGTAATACAGGCAGCAAGAACAATTATTTCAGAACTAAATTTGTGTGGATTTTTTTTTGAAGTCTATTCTGAATATGTTTTGCTGTTGTATTCTGTACTAATTGTACTCCTAAGATGTTCAAGGGCAATTTTGTGCAGAACGTATTGCAGTAATCTAAAGAAGATGACACCTGTTATGGATTATTATGATTAGGTGTCTTTGTGCCTCGAAGGCTTGCAAGTCTCAGACTGGACATGCACTAATGCACTTCACTGAGGCCTTAAATGACAAAGACACATTTAAGAGTGTGTGGCAAAGCTCCACATTGTGCTCCTTCAGGGAGGTTGCAGTTTTTATCCAGAGTCAGAGACTCTGGATAAAAGCTAAAAAGATGGGAGTACCATTTAAAAGGCAGCATTAAGGCAAAGATTAATTTTGCATCTACTAGGGAAATAAGATTGGAAGAGAGATAATTTCAGCATATTTGGAATAGATGGCTTATTTAAATTATAGCAGGGAAGGTTTGTACAGTGTTAGTTCCAAGAGGGAAGGAAATTTTCTGTTGGAGCACTGCATCTTCTGACCTTAAATGGTCTGTTGTATTTCAGAGTGGCGCATAGCATTCAATCAGCAAGTAAAAATTAGAACTTTGTAAAGAGTTTATTGATATTTTTTCAGGGTCTCTGGTAATAAGAACTGTATACTGTCTATAGGTTGGGTTATGAATCGATAATTTGGTTATGTCTCCATAGTATGATGCAATCAGAATAAATCAGCTATATGAACAATCCAAATGGGCTATTCTTTTGGAAGAAATCGAGTGCACAGAAGAGGAAATGATGATGTTTGCAGCACTGCAGGTAAGGGTTGGCCCTGAAGTCCCAGGGCTCTTTAACTCTTGGTTTTTGCTTTTCAAAGAATCCTTAGCAAACACTGAAATCCTTGCTGTACTAAATTTCACATATTGCATGTATTCGTTTTTTTGAGTTAGAACATTTTGTCCCAACAAATATTGCCTTTTTTCTGTAATGTTTTACTTGAACCTTTTTAGGGAATCTAAAATAGATTTGCCTCCTTTCAATGTCTCATGCAAAAGAATTTAGGTTCTTTTTTCACAAACATGTTTGTATCTTTTTATTAGCTTTTAAGCAAACGACAAGTACATTAGGTTACTGAACCACAAGATTCTGGCACTGAGCCTCTCAGGCAGCTGGTGATAATTCCTGGGTTTCCCAAAAATATCTTTGCCCCTTCCTCCGTGTTCTCAGTCTGCAGCACATTTGGCAAACAAATTTATAAACACATTTAATGTATTTTTCACTGTACTTTCTTTTTCCCTTCTAAAGAAATTCCTTTCTATACTAGCAGTTTAAGGTGTCTCACATTGAACTCATTTGTGGTCTGTCTCTATGTATTATACATAAGGCATACCACTTAGGAACTCAAAATCTCCTTGGATTATTGGAACTCTGTAGGTACAACGTAATCTTTTGAGGCCAAAACAGATTGTGTTAACTATATCTAGAACTAAATGAAGTTTTGACATCAAAGCCACTTCCATTCTCTTAATATTTTACCATGTGTGGAAATACTTAGCGGCCACTTAAAAGAATCATAGTTATAGATAATAAGCAACTGCTTGTTATGTCCAATTTCATTAATTAAAACTGAAGCATCAGTGTAAACAGAATTACCTTTTATGAGAAATGGAAGGGCTTTGTATCATGTAAGGTACTCTATTTAGTAAAATAGTAAAAAAGACTAAGCTATTTCTTTCCCGGTTAATATAGGTATAGATTTGTTTAAAGTTGTCATTAGAAAAAAAATAGAAGTAAAAGGAGATACATACCTGGGAATATGCTTCTACAAAAAGTTATATTCATTGTAGTGTGCTAAGTGAAGAGACTATTCATCATGGAACAAGTCCTTTCACATAAAGAAAATTATTTTTGTCCTAAACTGTGGGTCCCCAATCCCCGGGCCACAGTCCACTACCAGGCCATGGCCCATTTGGAATCGGGTTATGCCAGTGGCGGGTGAGCCCATGCATGTGAAGCTCCATTTATGTGAGCAGCGGGCACATGCTCCCACCTCTTGCGCAAATGGAGCTGTGTACACGCCTGTGCTTGCCGCTCACACCATCCCATCCTTACCAATCCGCAAATCTACAAAAGTTGGGGAACGCTGCTCTAAATATTTCTTATATAAATGAAAAGGGAGAACTAAGGGATATGAACCTAATCATTTTAACTGTGGGCCAAATTAATTTAATTGGATTTTAATATTGTTTTAAATTTTGTATTTTTTGTATTTTATCTGCTGGCTGTTCACCACCCCGAGACCTTCGGGAGAAGGGCAGTATACAAATATAATAAACATAAACATGAATCAAAAACATTGAGATTTATTTGTAAAATGAATTCTAGATTAAGAATTAGTTGAGTTAAATCACAAAACATGTCCCACTCTTGTCTTGTGGCTGTTGTTCAGATTTTTGATTAGATATGAGTGCTATGAAGACCAAGTGCTATGAAGGCTATATTGTATTATCAGCAGCCTTTGAGTAGATCAAGAGGATTATACATACGTTCATACAATTATTTTTCAATTACTTTATTTCAGTACCACGTCAATAAATTGTCAATCATGTCATCTGAAAATCACTTGAATAACAGTGACAAAGAAGTTGATGAAGTTGACGCTGCCCTTTCTGATTTGGAGATTACTCTGGAAGGTGGGAAGACCTCCACAATTCTGGTAAGAACTGAGAAGTAAGAGCTTAATGTTTTTCCCAAGAGTTTGAGACTAATAGTCTGCACACAAGAGAAACTGTCGAACTGCTGGTCATATACAGGCAGTTTGAGAAGAACTTAGTTCATAACCTAAAAAATAGGTTTCTCAGAATCCAGAATCTGTAGCATCTTTAACTGAATTAGGTAAATCCTGCTAGTCCTTTTCATTGACTATTCCATATTGAGTTGGTAAACTACAGGTAATCCTCAATTTATGACTGGTCAAAGTTACGCTTAATCTCCTGCTTTGTTTTTGGAGTTAAATGGCTATACACACACATCCTCATCATCTACACATGGTCACAATATTGCATTTTGGGTACTTGGTAAACCACTCACCTTTATGGCTCTTTGAAACACCCCATAGTTACATAAATGCGAATTGCAACATTCACCAGTTTCTGGCAAAAAAGCAGCCATTTCGGAAAATGGATTTGCTTAATGAACACTCTTTTGCTATGTTTACAACCGTTGGGGGGAAAAAACAGTCATAACTTCAAATCTAGTCACATGATGCCTTAACTTAAAACCTCAGCATTTTACAACCATAATTCTGATCTGAATTGCAGTCGTAAGTCGAGGACTACCTGTACTGCACAAAATCATTGAGCATCTTCAATAGAGAAATTGAACTAACAGAAAGCAGATTGTCAAGTTCCACTAGCAAGCTCTCATAGTAATTCAGAGAGTGAGCATCTGGCTTCCAGATGCCATAGAAGTCTCTACTTTGCATGTCTACCTGAAACATTGGTGCAGAATATGAATGCAGTGGGACTTTCTGGTTAAAGCACTGAATTGATTCTCACTTAGGCCCTTCTCTTTCTTGAAGATATTTTCTGGCAAAGCAGGTAACCTCCTTAGAATCTGCCCTGTGCAAGCATTGCTGTAGTGACCGAGAACTCTGTGCTAGCCATGATTTGCATAGGGCCATTAATTTCAATAGGGTTTGTAAGAAGGCTTTCCTAATTGGGGATCATGTTGTTTAGTAAACATTTAGGATGAAATGGAGACTTGGTGCCAAAGCATACATCTTTTGGGATTCGTTTATATAGTTCAGTTTCAGAGTTTGTCCTTTAAGGACACTTACGCTAAATCAGCTCTGCCAAGGAATTTTTAGGGTATTTTTGCCAAGCACGTCCTTGTGGACTCTCTTGGACTGTTCACAGGTCATTTGTTTTGGTTTTTTTTCCTTTGGAGCTGCAGCTTCCACCCCCACCACATGACAACCTCTTGAACTTTTTTATGCACAATGGCTTACCTAAGATGAAAGAGAGATAGCCTTGATGTGTTTGTCCAGTTTTCCAAGACATCTGTAAATAGGCAGTGGAGTCTGTGCAGACGTTTTAGTAAAATATGCCATCTGTCTGTGCTTCTTAGGATATAAAGGCTTTACCACAGGGTGAAATGTAAAATTTGTTACTACCAGTTCTGTGGGCGTGGCTTGGTGGTGGTGGTGGTAATGTGACTGGATGGGCGTGGCCAACTTTTTTTTTTTTTTAACTTTTCAAAGCATTTTTTCTAATGCTTTGAAAAGCCTCTGCCAATCAGGCAACTCAGCTGGGATCATCAGAGAGGCTTTTTAAAAAATGCTTTGAAAAGCCTCTCTGACGATCAGGCAACTCAGCTGGGATCGTCAGAGACTTTTCAAAGCATTTTTTTTTACCATCTCTTCGGCCAAGAGGTTGCAGAAAAAAATGCTTTGAAAAGCCTCTGACGATCCCAGCTGAGCTGCCTGATCATCAGAGGCTTTTTTTTTTTTTTTACTTTTAAAAGCATTTTTTCGTTGGAAGAGGTTGTAGAAAAAATGCTTCTAAAAGTTAAAAAAAAAAGCCTCTGATAATTGTGCAGCTCAGCTGGGCATGGTGGGGGGTGGGGCGCAGAGATTTTTGCTACCGGTTCTCCGAACCACCCACCGCCATCACTACCAGATCAGGTGATCCGGTCCGAACCGGGAGCATTTCACCCCTGCTTTGCCATCATTATCACTATTGTTATAAACCTTGGAGGAAGACAGTGATAAACTGCTTCTAAATTGTGCCAAAAAAATAACATGGACATGTCCATGTAGCTTCAGTTTAGAAGAGAATTTGATTTGGTTACCCTGCTAAATTTTGCTATTTTAGTAGAGGCTCCTTTCCTTTTCCACATTTAAAGCCTTGTGCTGAGGAGACCATAGCTGAAATTGTGCCTGTCCCTGGGGGTTGGGTGGGGTGGGGAGAATCAGTGGAAGAAATGGAGGGTTCTTTTAAAGAGATTCCAAGAAAGAAAAAGAAAAAAAGCCAAAATGAGGACGTTATAGTCATCTAGATTACACCTAGATGACATGAGGGAGTTTGACATCCTGCTCCTTTTATCTAGTGATGTATTTAGATAAATGGATCATATGGCGAGCTTCATTTTTTAAAAGCTTCCGATCTCCATCAATCCAATATAGTACAAGTCGGGAAGCTATCTTAACTGTGACTCTTAAGTTTCAGTCAAAATGAATCATGCTCTCTTATCCCAGATTAGAACTGTTCTTTAGAAATGCATGCATATTTGGACATATGAAGAAAGAAAAATACCATTAGCTAAGCAAAACATAGTTCTGTGTGCAGATCAGTGGAATTCCCTTTTCTGTCCAAACTTTAAAGACCACTGAATTCTGTATCCGTAGTTACCAAAATTGAAGGAATACTCTTTTTAGTAAAGGCAAAAGCTTCTCTTTTCTTAGCAAAAGAAAAAGAATGAGCAGAATCCTGATAGAGGAGTGGTTGAGCCCACCTGCAGCTCTCAAAGCACATGGCGGAATCAGATCAGTTCTTTTAAGAAAAACAATTATAAATGTAAATATAAGGATATAAATTTCAGGTTGCAATCCTGATGCCCAGGGGCTTAAGGATGCTCACATAAATAGCAATAGCACTTAGACATTAGGGCCTGGTGGCTCAGCAGACTAAGCATTATGATTAACACCAGCTGTCTGCAATTACTGTAAGTTCGAATCTCACCAGGCTCAAGGTTGACTCAGCCTTCCATCCTTTCAAAGGTAGATGAAATGAGGACCCAGTTTGTGGGGGCAATAAGCTGACTTTGTATAAATATACAAAAGTATGAAGGCTATTGCTTAACGCATTGTAAGCCGCCCTGAGTCTCCGGAGAAGGGCGGCATATAAATCAATTTTTTTAAAAAAGACTTATATACCACTTTACAGTGCTTCACAGCCCTCTCTAAGCGGTTTACATAATCAGCATATTGTCCCCAACAATTTTGGGTCCTCATTTTACCCACCTCAGAAGGATGGAAGGCTGAGTCAACCTTGAGCCTGGTGAGTTTTGAACTGTCAAATTGCAGGCAGCAGAAGTAGCCTGCAGTACTGCACTCTAACCACTGCGCCACTGAGGCTCATCCTAGCTGTTCTCATGGATCAACTAAGTGGGCCTTATCTTTCATAGAAAACAAACTTTCATAGAAAACAAGCTTTTGTCCATCATCTTTCGTAGAAAAGCCCAGTTTGGAAAGATGCTCACCTGTCTGGGAAAAAGAAAGAGAGAGATTGAAACTGATTACATTTTCACTCTTCTTTTCCTCTGAAGAATGTTAATGGGCTCATATAAAGCCCACAGGGTCTTCAAGGCAAGGAGAACAAAGAAGTAGTTTCTGTACAGGATGCTTGCTATCCATATGAGATAAAAGGTTGATATCCGGGAGGAGGGGCCGATAATTTTGACAGGTATCCAGGACTACAGTTATGCAGTAAGTGCTGCACTTGTGATTCCAGATTTGTAACAGCTGAGTTATGTTAAAATTGTCCCAAAGTATAAATCCATATTGCTAGATCTTGAAAAATGAAGTAAAAATAAAACCCAAGACCATAGGCCAGGCTAGATTAAAGTTACTACATTCCTACTTTAGAGCACATGTAGTTTGGATATCTTAGTTGCAGATTTAACTGGGATTTTCATCAGAAAAAAAAAATGATTTATTTTTCAGTGAATAAATTGTGAATGATGGACCAGATTTGTTTAATGGCTGACTCCATGTTATAAACAATCTTACATATAGCTCACAACTGCATTATAATGTCACTGTGTTTCATCATTTGAAGTAATGGTGATGGCTATGATTCTTGATCCACATATCCTTTAAGTGAGCAGTGTCTTGAAATATGCCTCAGAATTTTGAACATAGATTCTCTGTGCAGAAATGATAACCAAACCCTAGATAGTAAAAATGAATGTCAGCCATAGAGGAAAGTTGAGGAATCTTTCTTCCATATTTAAACTAGTTTAGAAAAACAACTAATTTATCTTTTCCAGATAATATGATTTTCTAAAAATGTAGTTTTATTCCTATAATTCTTTTTAATCAAGTCTCTTCTTCCTCCTCAACTAAGAACATTGTCTTTTTATAAAGGAACTATGTATTCATTTAATCAGCTAAATTGATTCTTCCAAATTGTTTGCTTCTCAGCATTCTCTTTCACGAACCAATTTCAGATCCTGGCAGATAAAATATAATGGCAGCTGTCTTGTTTACAGGGTGACATCACTTCCATCCCGGAGCTGGCAGACTACATTAAAGTGTTCAAGTAAGTACTGTCTGGAAATCTGGAAGAAACAGCACAAATCAATAAGCTTTATAATAAATAAATAGGTTATAATAAATGCTTATCTCTTAGTGTCTAGAGCAAGGTTTCTCAACCTTGACAACTTTAAAATGTGTGGCTAGAGAATTCTGAGAATTGAAGTCCACACATCCTAAAATTCCCAAGTAAAAAAACTCTTTTTAAAAAAATTAGACACTTTAAAATCTTCCCACTCCTTTCTTGAATTTTTCTTAAATTGCAGGGCTAAACCTGAAAATACATGAAGTCCGAAGAGTAACTGTGCTTCAGAAACTATGCTGTTTGTTTGTAATGACTAGAGAAACCTTTGCATATTGATTTAATTTACATTGTTCGGAATTTTACTTTAGGTAATCAAATAACTGGAAAATATAAAAATGCAGTCATTTGTGATTTACTTGATTCCTGTGTGTCATTTCTTGCTCCTTTGATCAATAAGGAGTGAATGTCATTTTTCAATTCCTAAAGACAGTGATTGGGGCTGGCATTTTCTCCAGTTACCCTAGAACAGAGGTATCCAACCTTGGCAGCTTTAAAACCTCTGGACTTCAACTCCCAGAATCCTCCATGCTGATTGGGGAATTCTACAAGTTGAAATCTTAAAGTTGCCAAGGTTGGATACCCTTGTCCTAAAAATAGGGATGATATTGCATAGTTTGAAGTATTATTCAAGTATCTTTCTTGGATTTCATGAGCATAAAGGTAAAGGTAAAGGTTCCCCTCGCACATATGTGCTAGTCGTTCCCGGCTCTAGGGGGCGGTGCTCATCTCCATTTCAAAGCTGAAGAGCCAGCGCTGTCCGAAGACGTCTCTGTGGTCATGTGGCCGGCATGACTAAATGCCAAAGGCGCATGGAACACTATTATCTTTCCACCAAAGGCGGTCCCTATTTTTCTACTTGCATTTTTTATGTGTTTTCGAACTGCTAGGTTGGCAGAAGCTGGGATTAGTAACGGGGTGAGCTCCCGTTATGCGGCACTAGGGATGAGCATATAGATAGCATAATAGATAGATAGATAGATAGATAGATAGATAGATAGATAGATAGATAGATAGATAAGAGTCCAGTTAATCACTGGATACTGCCAGAAAAGACAAGCTTTAGACTAATTTTGCTGCTCTTTAATCAGGTTTGTTTTTACTTTTAAATAAGACTTTTCTTGAGGGGAAAAAAAATAGGAAGAATATTATCTTGGATCTGGACATGTGAAAACTAGAAACAGTTGTGTCTGGATTTGGGTTAATATTTTGGCAGGCTTAGCTGTGTTACAAATGAATACCCCACCATACTACGGATATGAGATGAATTTTGGAACTGGTACAAAGACGTGTTGAATTTTGCAGAATTGACAGGAAGAACAGTTGAAAGGAAATAGCATAGAAACTATCGGTACTTTTGAGAAGAATTACAAAATGGCTTTGTCAGCCTTTGGTACCATATAGGCAATTCTTTCTCTTTTCTGTTTTCTTTAATAAGTAGGGAAAATATACTTGCTCTCCCATTTATTAGTAAGCACTTCCTTTTGATAACTCTATTACATAATTTATCACTTTTTAGAACTGTAGTTTTAAGATAGATCTTATTTTAAGGCACTTTGAATGATGGGCTTGAATAATGATTTGATTTCTAATTGCTTAACCACCAGTTCTGGCAAGTTCTTCTCTGTACTTAACCTATCTCAGTGGGCTTTTGTAGAGATGAATCCTCTGTACCAAAGAACCTGTGTTAGTTATGAAAGAGAAAGCAGCCTAAAATTCTGGTTCAGAGGAAAATCCCTGCATATATCACATATTGAGGCACAAAATAAGTCTATTTTTCTTATAAACAATAACATTTTGCAAACTTCCTGTCCTCCAGAAAATATTTTCATACTGCTTTATCTATCAAGGATTTCCTGTACATCTGCAATAGCATTCTAGAATGCATTGGGGACACTGTTAGTTTTTTTAAAATGCTGCTCTTGGGTTTTGAAGCTCAGGTGTTTATTAACTCATACAACCTGGGGGGAAAAATCAGCCTATAACCATGATGGCGAACCTATGGCACATGGAGCCATATCGGTGGGCACGTGAGCTCAGCTCCGGCGAGCATGTGCGCACTGGCCAGCTGATTTTTGGACCTTCTGGGCTCACGGGAGGTCAGGAAACACAGTGCTTCCGGGCACCGGAAGGCCTCCAGGGAGGTGGGGAAGGCCAGTTTTTCACTCTCCCCAGGCTCCAGAGTCTTACTAGGAGCCTGGGGAGGGCAAAAATGCCCCCCCCCGGGAGGCCCTCCGGAGCCCGGAAATGACCCGTTTGCTGACTTGCGGCCCCACCGGAGGTTGGGAAACAGGCTGTTTCTGGCCTCCAGAGAGCTTCTGGTGGGGTGGGGAAGGCCGTTTTCGCCCTCCCCAGACTCCTAGAAAGGCTCTGGAGCCTGGGGAGAGCGAAAAACGGGCCTACCGGGCCCACTGTGCCATCACGTGCCAAAAGCAGGGGGAACACAGGAGGATCATGCACGCATGCCCGGGGGGGCACATAGAATTATGGGTGTGGGCGCACACACACATGTGACACCCCCCCGCACTCCCCCTGCTTTTGGCACGCAATGGCAAAAAGGTTAGCCATCACTGGCCTATAATATGCGACTCAGTTTTGCTGTAGCTGTGTGTTGCATAGAGCAGGGGCGTCAAACTGACGGCCCGCAGGCCAGATGCGTCACATGCAGGCCACACCCACCCCAGCTTTGCAAATGGGAAAAACATTGCAAAATGTCACGTTACAACAATGTGACATGGCAAGTTTGGCACCCATGGCATAGAGAAACAATAACTGTAAGCAACCTGCAGTTGTATAACATGATTGTTATCCCCATGAATAATGTCTCCTCTATACAGATGGAGTGAGATCTTTTAAATGGAGCAGTGACCCTGGGAACCTTTACCACTTATTGGCTGGTGTATCACTTGTGGCCAATTTCAGTAATAAGCTATACTAGCAATAATCACTCATGCACTTTTTGCCTTGAGACTAAACTATAATTTGCTCTACATGGGGCTGAAGGAACCAGCTCATATAAATCACTTTGTGCTAAATCAAGAATCTGTGACCCTTCTGATTGTGCTAAAGACTAGTTCCCAGCAGCATCCCCCATCTTTGACCATATTAACTAGGCAACTAAGCATTGTGATTCAGCAGCAGCCAGAAGACCACAAGTTTGTGTGCGGGCAAGAGATGAGAAGCTGTTGCAAATGTACCTCCATTTCATTCAGTGGTAGTAATAGTGTACTACTTTACAGGCCAAAGAAGCTAACACTGAAGGGTTATAAGCAGTATTGGTGTACCTTCAAAGACACATCTATCTCCTGTTTCAAAAGTAAAGAAGAATCTAACGGGACCCCAGCTCATCAGATGAATTTGAGAGGTAACAGAGCAAATGCAGTTTTGGTGATCTTCTCATCTCTCCATGATTGAGCTGTATTTTAAATTTGCTTATTTTGGCATTTCTCTGACCTTGCGATGAGATGCAAATATTTTCATACATGGCATTACTCCAGAATGACTCTGCATCAATCATTCACTTGCTGAAAGGCAGGATTTCTTTCACACTAAATTCTGGGGACCATCAGAATTAGTAGAGTGTCACAACCAGGGAACTGAGGGATGAAGGGATTGAAATATTTTGTGGAGCTACAAGTTCCTTCCACAAGCATAACCCCCCCCCCCCCAAAAAGAGGTCTGCTGATGGCTTAATGGCAAAACTAGATGCAGGATTCTTTGATTTGGCAAAATGTTGCCTAATTGCATAATGTCTGTATTTGTTCAATATAATATACTGTATAAAGTACAAATAAAATGAAAGTGAGAACCAAATAAACGACTTTAGCTCAAAAATTAGGAAAGTTTTATTACCCAATAGAATATCCTTTTTAAAATATATTTTCCTCCCTCTGCATTAGTGTGCTGAGCGCACACACACGTGCCCACACAACTTTATTCAGATGGGGACAAGGAATTTATGCTGTATAGGACATTCCTCTGGCTACCAGCTCTGTTTGTATTCCACAATAAGCTATTCCAGTTTAATGGATTGTGCAATAGGCACTACTGACATTCGCTTTTAAAGCCTTCAAGGCAGAAACAGAAAGGCTGCCAGATGACTTCAGACTATAACTATGAACTGGAGAAAAGAAGCATGGAATACCTTTTTCGGAGCTTTTTAACAAAACTGTTGATGATGGAATTTTAAAAGAATTCTGCTGGGAGAGCTGAAATAAAGCTGAAATTGTTTCCAAGAAAATGAGTTATTTTAAAAAAAATATCATTGTCCTTTATAAAAGGTTGCATTAAAAATCCTATATCACTGTTCTGAACATTATGTTTCCATTATCCAGTATCCATTAATTTTCTTTGACTATTGACCATGGAGTAGCCCTCAAAAATGCTGGTTTAATTTCCTGAATTTGGTAGAAAAACACCTCAAATGAAAGAATAATAAAAAAGTTTTATCTTCCCATTTATAGTTATCTGTGACGGGTGCTGTTTGGATTTAGCAGGTCCCAGTTTCAAGAATAATTTACTATGCTTATGTTAACATATTAATTAGTTAATAATCAGTGTACAATGTCTATGGAGATTCTCAATCATCCAGGTCATGGTTGTCCCAAAGATGCTTTTCCAAAAAAGTGGGAGAGGCCAAAATAAGAGGCCTCCTCTGCCTAGACAAGCTGGCTACTTCAAAAATGCAAGCATGGTCAGGTATGCCAAGCTCAGATCTCTCTGTCCAGATAAGCCAACTTCTCCTGAGCAGGAAAAATATGAATTTCTAGCTTAGTGGTAATGAAGGTGACAATTTAATAACGTATACTTGTGAACACAGGAATAATCAGCTAGATCAGGGGGGCCCAACCCCTGGTCTGCAGCCTGTTGGGAACCAGGGCCATGGAAGCGGTGGGTGAGCATGTGATTGTGTGAAGCTCCATTTGCGTGTGAAACCAATCCCTTCCCCCCACCTCGCTGCCACACCACTGCCAGTTCATGGAGCCGGAAAGGTTGGAGACCAATGAGCTAGATAATACAGGGACTTTGCTTAGATGAAACTATTCCCCAAAGAGTCTAAAATCCCATTTAATTCAAATTCTAATTACATTCAAATTCCCCCTGGAAGCACTTTTGATTTCAGTGGAACACATTCAGATATATATATATAAAGAATTCATGATCGATATAATATTTATGTGACATTTAAGACTGCATTCAAATGAATACAAACCTGACTGATACACACTCAGTCCTACAGTATATTTGGTATCAGGAACCTCTTTTGGGGCTCTTCAGTCTGTTACAAAGCTAATGTTTCCAATCAAGGTGATATTTTGATGCAATTCCCATGTTATGGTGATATTATAGAAAATCTATGTTGCTTCAGAAGTGAAAAGAACAAATATCTTTTCAGCGCTTAGATTTTGGTGGATGTCTGTGCTGATCAAGGAAAAATTTTGATACTTTGATGGGTAATTATAGATTTGGATTATAAAAACTTTTCAAATTATCAATTTGGGGCAATTTATTCACTAAACATTAAAAATCACTTGTCAAATGGGCAGCTACATACTGTAAATTTGATTGAACAAATACACACAAAAATGTATATTCAGGCAATTGAAATTTGATAATGCTGTTTTTTATTAAAACAAATAGCACTAGGTTAATAGGTAGGTATGTTTTTTTCTTAGTTAAAATGAAATGGTTGGAAGATATTCAAGTCTAAAAGGAGAAATCTGCCTTTTGTCCCATCCTCATATTTATGAAATACATAATATTTACATCTTCTTTTATTATAGGGTGTGAGGTAACTCCTGACGTCAACATATCTGGTCAGAAATTTAACATAAAGCTTCTGATTCCTGTTGCTGAAGGCATGAATGAAATTTGGCTCCGTTGTGATAATGTAAGTTTACATGAAATGTCAGCCAAAGTCAGTTGGCTGTAGCTGGTTGTGCAGCAAGAACTGAAGTGTGCATCAATTCTTTCCTGGAATCCACAGATATCTGAAACTAGCCTTGTATAGAATATTATTAAGAAGAATATAAGCAGGGCCAGTAATAAAATAGGTTGCTTTTCTTTATAGCAAACTCAGCTTAATTCTTCTCAATCCTAATATGAAGCAATTTGAGGCGAAGTATCCTCAGTAAAATGATGATATCCAATTGTTTACTATATCCCTGCAAAGAGATGCAGTGGACATCTTGAGGGCTGGAGGCTATGAGAGATTGGATGGAATAGGCTCCAATTGAAGCCCAGATAGATGGACCCACAGTTTCTGCAATCTGTTCCAGGCAGTTCAGATTTCAGCTTGAGGTGAGATGGCACTTTCCTGAAGGAGCAAGTATGCAGTCTGGATATCCTGGACTTGCCATATTTTATCAGCAGGTGAAAGAAAGCTCTGGCCAGTGTTGTCTGATCTGCCAATTATGACCTTTCCTGGACACTGTAGTCCTTTTTATTTTGCCCTGCTTACCAGGACTAACTGGTATAGCAGAATGACCACTACATTGCAGAAGGCTACACTGGTTGCCACTTTGCTTCCTGGCAAAATTCAAGGTATTGATAATCACCTACAAAGTCCTTTATGGTTCAGGCCCTTGTTACCTTCAAAGCCATAAGTTCCAGGTAGCATCTACCTGCCTAATACATGCAAGCTCAGACAAGTCCTGATCTCCCAGGAGGAAAGGAGAAGGCTAGTCTTTTCGGACATGGTCATCTGCTTTTAAGCAGCTTGTCTCCAAAGATACAGGAGGATAGCAGGATACCCCCTGCTATCATTCCAAAAGGCACTTAAGATACCATTAGTTAAGTGAATATTTGCATGTCATTCTTTGACCCCAATGGCCCTAACATATATACACGAATAAAGCCGACTTTAGATCAGCCTCCTCCAGAAGGTCATGTTGGAGAATACATATCCTGGACTCAAAGCATATAGTATTTAAAGGTGACAACCAGCATTGTATGCCCTGAAAGATTACAGAACGAAAGGACTGGTGGAGATTGAATGTTTTTATGATCACATGGCACAACATATTGTTTGGATTTTGTAGCTCTCTAGCACTTTTCACTTTTTGAAAGAATATTGTGCAAAAAATACAAAATGTTCATATTGAACTGTAATTGTGCCCATGTAAGGATGGCTATAAACCATGAATTTTATCACATGATTCTAAGCGCACATGAACACCAAATCTGCAGTACTAATCAAAATCATGGTTGAAAAGATGCATAAATTTGGTGTTTACATTAACTAGAATCAATATTTAAGTGCAACAGTTTTGAAACATGATCTGAAAATACCTATATAAACAAGTGAATGCTTTATCTTACAGTCACTTACATGACACATGTATTCTGTGTCTAAGATTGGGCTGTGCATCTTCTAACATGTTTGGGACTGCAGTTTTCCAGTATCCTTGGAGACACAATAAAATATGCCAAAAAGTCCATCCCAACAGGTGCTTTTTTTTCTTTTACACTGCAGGAAAAACAATATGCACATTGGATGGCAGCATGCCGGCTAGCCTCCAAGGGTAAAACCATGGCAGACAGTTCATATAATTTGGAAGTCCAGAACATCTTGTCTTTTCTGAAAATGCAGCATCTGAACCCAGATCCACAGATAATTACTGAGCAGATCACAACAGACATTAATCCAGAATGCTTGGTTTCTCCAAGATACCTGAAGAAGTATAAGAACAAGCAGGTACACATTTGGAATTATATTTTACTGAACGTTTTCTATGAAAAGTGAATGTGCAGGTATACAGAGGCCTTGTGGATGAATGGGGGAGAACAAGTCCAAAGCAGATAAAGGCCAGATATTGAAAAGAATTTGCACTCGCTTTGAAGGTTCAGATCCTTCACCTGTGAATCTTTCTAGTCTCACTATTGTCTGTGGAAATGCAAGTAGTCAAGGGTGCCTTTTGCCAAGTTTGGTTTGTATTTCAGATAGGGACTATGTGATCCATCCAGAAGTCATGCACATCCTAGTTACCTTCTGACTATTATAACACAATCTGGTTGGGATACCTTTGGACATGGCTTGAAATCTTCATTTGTTATGGAATGTGATGTCTTACATTTTTGCTGGAACATTAATTATGCTAATATGTATCAGCTACACTAGCAGTACATTTTGGAGTTCAATTTAAAGTATTTGTTTTGGTCTTTGAATTTTGCGACAAATTATGTTAAGGATTTGTGAATCATTAGTGCTTTAAGATCACATTCCGAAGACGTGGTTACTGACTTAATTGTTGAGGGTTCCAGAACTGAACCATATCTAAGGGGATTTCTCCATTTCAGGACACTTCTAAGAGGATTTTTTTAAAAAAACCTAATTTGTTAGCTCTTCCTTTTGGTAGAAATACAATTTGTTTTTGTATCCTTAAAAGTTTAATTATGGTTGATTTTTTTAAAAGGTGGATTTTTAATTTCTGAAACTACTTTGCATTGTTTTCATATGGTAAGTCCTTTGAAAAGAGCATGGCTAGTAACTATATTAAAAGAATGAAATGAATGCTATCAAAATGACATCCTGCTTGTCTTCAGAGTTTTGAGCTATAAACTCACGTTACAACCATTATACAATGATTACTGATTATTTCCTTGCTGTTTTAGAGTTTTTATAACCGTATTGGGGTCAGAATCCTTTATGGGTTACTGTGAATTCAGGCACTATTTACATTGATCTTCCTACTGTGGTGTGAATAGGATCAAGTCAGAGATGGAGGGCACCTTGGGACTCTGGTTGCACCTTCAGTCTGATATTTTGTGGGTTTTTAAGTACCTTCTGGTCATGAACCCATTGCTTATTTCATCCATAGAACAATTTAGTTGGCACGATGAAACAGGATGAAGCATCAGGCGAAAACTGGCCTCAGGGAGCACAGCAGCCAGATTAGGGCGATCATTACAGGGTAGCAAGAAGATGCAAGCAATTCCAACTCTTTCCTGCCCTCTAGTAATCATCTGGAGTTTTGCAATCCAAATCCATTGATCCCAAAACTAAAATGACTTGCTGGTGCTGCTCTATCACTAAGAGATTGTCCCAATCTGCCACTGCTTCAGGGTTCTTTTTCCTGAGAGTGAGTATTCGCAAGCCATAGGAAACAGAGAAGGTCTGCTCCCTCGAATACAGCCACTGAGTCTTTAACTGATGAGCAACGTTGGAATGGACAGGATGGATTTGGAAGTTTGTCTGGAGGCCTGGAAAGTGTTAATTAACACCGTAAATTTGAAAAAAAAAATGCTTTGCTGTTTAATACATTTCCTAGTAACTCATAGACGTATATTAAAATCAAGCTAATTGATTTGGCTGAATTTTCAATCTTAACAGAAACACAGAATGGGTTAGAACAGTGTTTCTAAATCTCAGCAACTTTAAGATATATGAACTTCAATTCCCAGAATTCCCCAGATGGCATTCTTTAAGTGCATACATCTTAAAAGCTGCTGAGTCTGAGAAACACCGGGCTACAAGATATCTTGGAGATAATCTGTTCCAATCCCTTCCAAGCAGAGGAATCCACAGATCCCTGACAGTCTGCCATCCAGCCTTTATTTAAAGTCCCCCCCCCCCCAACAAAGGAGAACCCATCACCTCCTTATACAGTCTGTCCGTTGTCGAATGCTTCTTACTGTTAGGAAATACTTCCTGATGTTCAACCAAAATCTACCTGCTTGTAATTTAAACCCATTATTTTTCATCTGGTCTGAAAAAATTCTGAACAATTCTGCTCTGATCCTCACACCATCCCTTCTTTTTTGGTTCAAGCTGGTTCACAAAACAATTCCATATACAGTACAAGACAATCCTTCAGGGTTCTTTAACATGAAGCACAAAATTGTCATGTGCCAGGTGACTTTCTTGCTCTGTTTGAAATCTTCATATCTGTTCCAGGTATGAGAATTATATTTTACCGAATTGGTAAAGATCAATGTTGGGGGGGGGGGAATCAATGAAGGGCAGCTGATATACTACCAATGAAAAATCAGTGATAAAAGGCAATATACCAGACTACAGTTTTTTCCTCTGCTCTTCCGAATACAAATTTGTTGATGAAGTCTTAAGGAAACTTTCTTCTCCAGCTTCTTTCCTACTTGTGGAATAACTCATTGTGAGCAGCTTTGCTTTTATCACAGTTCAATAGCGTGTCCAGTCCATTACTTTATTTTTCACATTTTTGAACTGCCCATTTGCCCTTCAGAAAGGGACATTAAGCACCATTAAATGCCAAAATCATGTGAGGTTCCACAGTCTCATCCTGAGATTATACAAGTATCTTCAGCTATAAGATTTAACAATCTTGTAAGAGATTTGGAGAATGGGCAGGACTTCTAAGGTTTGAAAAGGTTATGTCAAATATGAACTTAGATCTTGGATCAATTATTTGAAGAATAAAGTGAATAGTTCTCCTTGGGATTCTTTTTCCCTCAGACTTCTTTATGACCTAATTCGCTAACTTGCTGACTGACATTATTTTAACAGTTATATGTTTTATTTATGACATGAAATTCTTATATCAGTATGCGATACAGTACTTGAATTTTTAAAAAGAAATGGAACCATCTGACCAAAAGTAAAAACGTAATTAAATGTTACACCATTGGATTTAGGTGTTAAAACAAAAACCTAGTGGAATAAGTGGACTGGGTTTAATTTAGCTCAGTTTGTAATAATCTCCTGAAAATAATCATGTTATTGTCTTGAATACAATATTGCCAACATATTGTCTTTGAACACAATACATTTCATTTCTTACAAAATGGTTTTACTGGTTTTTATAGTGTGTTCCCTGCAAGGACCAATCTGATTCACACACTAAGATGTGTGTTTATTACTGCAGCAGTTATACATGTATTTTGTGTGTGTGTGTGCATGTGCGGGGATATTTAATATGAAGTGTTTATTTACCTCCTTTAAGAAAACCTAGGGGGTTGTGCCAAGGCACTGTTATTCCTGCACATGCATGTGGCATGGGGGCAGTGTGATGGTATGAAGGAAATCTGCTTTTGTGGAATTTGTAGAATGCAGGGAACGTTCAGAAGCAAGAGACGATGTTGCTGCTTCCAGACTAGCAGTCCACTGATGTAAAAATATATCAACCAATAAAAGATGAGCCATTTTTAATGTGCTTTGGCCTATTCTGAGCCAAGAAACTTCTCTATTGTTTCTACTGTAATCTGAATACAGGCAATCCTCAGTCCATGACACACAATGGAGTCCAAAATTTCTGTTGCTAACCAAGACATTTGTTAAGTGAGTTTTGCCCCATTGTGTGCCCTTTCTTGCCACAGCTGTTAAGTGAATCACTGCAGTTTTTTAAAGTGAATTACGTGATCATTAAGGAACTTTGTTTTCTCCCATTGACTTTGCTTGTCAGAAGCCGGCTGGGAAATAATGTCACATGACTCTGGGACAGTGCAACTATCATAAATATAGTACATGCCTGTTGATAGGCACCCAAATTTTGAATTTTATGCTACAACAGTTGTAAGTGTAAAAAACGGTCATAAGTAACTTTTTCCATGCTGTTGTAACTTCAAATGGTCACTAAACGAATGCTTATAAGTCAAGAACTGTTTGTAACAAATGATTCTTTTATAAATATAAGCTATAACATAATTGTTTGCATTCAGTTTCGTTCTGATTTCCCACTTTCAATCAATTTTGGGGTTATTGTCCATAATAAAGTATGTTTCTTCATAACTTTTGTTATTCCCCCTCCCTCTTTTTTTGGTATAGTACTGTCATTATATTGTACTTGATGCTTCATATAATTTTAACAGGCCTCTGTAGCCCAGTGCTACAAAACTTTCAGTGTCTCTTCCTGCAACCGACCCACATGGCTACTTTCTGGAAATGCTTAGAGGTTTTACTTGATTATGGAATATTTTTTTTTGTCTGAATTTTGGTTCACCTAGAAATGTGTGTTATATTAAGCAGGAAATAACCGATAATTCAACTGAAATTTATTTTCTTCTGATTTGAGGGCGGTTTATATTACCTTATTTTTGTATTTCCATTTGAACTATGAAATTAACCAGGATAAACACTAAAGAGGATGTCACTTTTCCATGGAGAAAGACCCAAATTGCTTTCAGATATTCTAGGGCAGCTTCCCCAACTTCCTGGCATCTCGATTTCTTATCATCAAGAACCATCATAGTCATGCTGAATAGAAATTATGAGAAATGCAGTCCAAATTGTCTGGAGCACCGTTTCTCAACTTTGGCCACTTGAAGATTGGGTGGACTTCAACTCCCAGAATTCCCTAGCCAGAGTTGCCATCCATCTTTAAGTAGCCAAGATTGAGAAACGCTGGCTCGGAGGAACTGAGTTAGGGAAGCATACCTGGAATTAGCATCTTGCTATGCTTCTTTTTGCTTCCCCCTCCCCCACATGTTTTTCCATTTTCATATTCATTTCTTGCTACTTTTTCTCCCCATGAAAGATTTGGGGATTTTTAAAAAAAATTGGTTTCACTGTTGATAATTTGCACATTTTCCTTCCTTTGCTTTAATGCCATTTTTCTGATTGCCTTTTTTTTTTCTCTGCTTCCTTTTCTTTTCTTCGCATTTGTCCTCTGCAGCCAGGCTATATAAGAGACTTGGTAAGTGACAGTAAACCTAAAATAAACAAGCATGAAGACTTTGCTGTTTTATTAATATAACCTTGAAGAGATGCATATCAAGAGACAAAGTATATATTGAGCAATAAGTATTTTGGAGTAACATTGGGCCATAATGTTGTAAATAAGACATAATGGAATTATCTGGTTTCCTTGAACAATGTCTACTAATCTTTTCTTCTGGAACAGAAGTGTGCTATGTTTTTTTATGTGATGCACCTTTTGTTTTGTTGCCTTCTTGTCTCAACTTCTTTCCGACCCTGGCATAAATTTCTTCACATATTGCATTATTAATTTACAGAAATCCTAGCGCAAGATGTGATAATGGGCATAAAATTATTAACTATATATAAGTGCTATCTGCCAAACAAATTCTGCTCATTTCAGAGATAGCAAAGTTCTAAATAATAACTGATGGAGAACAAGTTTGTGGCTATCATATCCTTCTTATGTGAATCATTTACACTAATCTGGTTGGTTGCTGCTGAGAACAGGATACTAAACTAGATAGAGGTTTAGACTGATGGAAAGGGGCCACTTATTTTTACATTCTAGCTGAGCAGTTCAATGAAAAACTGACAGTTCTAGTGCAACTGTTTTAAGTTCAGAAGACCTAAAAGGAGCTAACTATAATTTGCAGCCATTTCTATTTCTGCAGTACATTGCTTATATATCTCCCATGGTTTCTTATGTGCTTTTACCATTTTTAATCTACATTAAATTTTAAAGTCTTAACCCAGGGGATGGAATCAATGAGAAATAAACAAATGATCCATTTGTAGACCAAAAAAACAAACAAACGATAAAAATCATGACAGAAGAAGAGAAAAATGAACATTTTGAGGTTAGGAATCAAACATGTGCAGCCATAGTAGATTATAATTTATTTATTTATTTTATGCAATTTATATGCCGCCCTATCTCCGAGGACTCAGGGCGGCTCACAACAGTAAAATGCATAAGTCCTATTAAAATGATATAGAATTAAAACCCAGTTTAAAACCAGTTTAAAATTCATTAAAAAAAAACAAACCCATCAGTCCAGGCTACGGAACAACCAGGTCTTCAACTCGCGGTGGAACGAGCGAACGTTAGGGGCCATCCAGAGCTCCAACGGAAGTTGGTTCCAGAGGGTGGGTGTGCCCATAGAGAAAGCTCTCCCCCTGGGGGTCGCCAGCCGACACTGTCTGGCCGACGGCACCCTGAGGAAGCCCTGTCTGTGGGAATGCACCGGGCGATTGGGGATTGTCGCTAGCTGCAGGGGGTCCGACAGGTATCCTGGGCCTAGGCCATGAAGGACTTTATAGGTGATAACCAGCACCTTGAACCTCACCCGAAGGGCAACCGGTAACCAATGCAAGCCGCACAGGAGGGGTGTAACATGGGTGTGTCGGGACGCTCCCATCACAACCCGTGCGGCCGCATTTTGCACCAGCTGAAGCCTTCGAGTGGTCTTCAAAGGCAGCCCTAGGTAGAGAGTGTTGCAGTAGTCAAGACGGGAGGTGACCGGCGCATGAGTAACAGTGCATAGGGCATCTTGGTCCAAGTAAGGGCGCAACTGTCGCACAAAGTGAACGTGGGCAAATGCCCCCCTGGTCACGGTCGTCACATGGTCTTCCAGAGACAACCGTGAATCCAGGAGGACTCCCAGGTTGCGGGCCCTATCCACAGGGGGTAACACCTCACCCCCGATGGAACATCTCGATCGGAAAAAGATGCCAGTACCCACAGCCACTCGGTCTTGGCAGGGTTGAGTCGAGGCCTGTTCCTCCCCATCCAGGTCCATACTGCTTCCAGGCAACGGGACATCACGTCGAGGGCATCACTGGGCTGGTTTGGGATGGATATAAAAAGCTGGGTATCATCAGCGTACTGATGATACCGCACCCCAAAACCACGGAGGACTTCCCAAGCGGCTTCATATAGATGTTGAACAGAAGAGGCGAGAGAACCGACCCCTGGGGCACCCCACAAGTGAGGGGCCTCATAGCCGACCTCTGCCCCACTGCCAACACTGCTTGCATACGGCCTGAGAGATAGGAGGAGAACCACTGTAAAACGGTGCCTCCCACTCCCAACCCCTCAAGCTGTCGCAGCAAGATACCATGGTCGATGGTATCAAACACCGCCGAAAGATCCAAGAGGACCAGAAGAGAGGAATGTCCCCTGTCCCGAGCCCTCCAAAGATCATCCACCAGTGTGACCAATGCCATCTCCGTGCTTTACCCTGGCCTGAAACCCGATTGGTACGGATCCAGGTAGATTATAATTAGAGAAGATGAAGCCAATCTTTTCCTACTTGGATCCAAGAAGGCAGGAGGCAGACAATGAGCAAACTTCAGATTCCTCAGGGCAGAAAGTCTAATTTTGCGCAAAGCATCCAGACCCAACTCCTGTAGTAATTATTGCTGGAAAGGAAGGTTCTTTGCCAGATCATACTGTACTTGTCAGAAAGTTTGTTATTTTTTGTAGGTGAGTGAAAACTTGTTCAGTCCATTATTAATACCTTTTGAATGAATGTAGAATGAGGATAAAAATGGTTTTTTTTCCCCTTCCTATGCATACCTACCAACCAGAGGTGGGTTTCAGCAGGTTCTGACCGGTTCTGGAGAACCGGTAGTGGAAATTATGAGTAATTCAGAAAACAGGTAGTAAAAATTCTGACTGGCCCCGCCCCCATCTATTCTCTGCCTCCCAAATCCCAGCTGATCGGGAGGAAATGAGGATTTTGCAGTAACCTTCCCCTGGATTGGAGAGGGAATGGAGATTTTACAGTATCCTTCCCCTGGAGTGGAGTGGGAATGGAGATTTTACAGTATCCTTCCCCTGCCATGCCCACCAAGCCACGCCCACCAAGCCACATGCACAGAACCGGTAGTAAAAATTTTTGAAACCCACCACTGCCACCAACCCGTTTATCCATCTATTGGAACAAAAATTTTCTTCAAATGCATTTTGCATTTGTTTGGGAGCTGGAATTTACATGGTTGGCTTTTTATGGATTAGGACAGAAAGGATAAAAAGGAATGGACAGGAGGAAGAATCAAAGACTGTGTTGGCATATGCTACATTTTCGATGAACTTATGAGTTGCCTGATGCCTAATTTTCTTGGTTTGCATGATTAACCACATGCTAGATTACAATATCTTTGGCTATTTGTGATTCTGAGTATGATGCAGACACAGTTACAGGGAAAAGGAAAGGGAACAGCATACTGACTACATTTGCCCAAAGTTCCTGTTTGAATCCAGAAACACACATGTGCATGCACACAGTTTCTTCTTCTTCTAATTCAAGTGGGGAGAAAATAATTTGTTTTCCTGATATTTTAAATAACATTCAGGAAGCCAAATTCTTGCCACATTTGTTATAAAAATATGTGTGGTTGTGCTTGCTGTAGGGAATACATTATCTTTTAACTACCATACCATTTTTGTAGTTCTAATTCTGCAAATAGCTGATCTTTGTAGTTTACTCTACTATCTTTTGTACATTAAGGCCAATTCTTCATTAGAAGGAAGAGAAGTTGAAGTTGCATAATCCCAGATAGTTCTCATCCCATGAAACCTCTTCCTCCCATTTCACATGATATATCGATGTTACAGCTGTTCCTCTAAACATCCCATTTTTTGAAGGGACCTGAGATAAGCCCCAGTTTCAAGAAATGCACACGTAGAAGAAAATGTTCTCCAGTTAGTCTTAAACTAACAGTTAACAGAAGACAGAAAAGATGTTTCATAGGTTAAAGTTAGTGGAGTAGGGGGACTGAATAGTATTGAATCACCTCTTTTTTCTCCCTCATTTTTTTATCTCTCTCTTGGTACTGCTCTCTCTTCATTCCTTTATAAATCGTATCTGAAATTCAGATCAGTTGCCTCAAGTATTTCTGTGTCACCCTTACAGATCACTGCCCGGATCCTAGAGGCCCATCAGAATGTCGCTCAGATGAGCCTCATTGAAGCCAAAATGAGGTTTATTCAAGCTTGGCAGTCCTTACCAGAGTTCGGCATTACACACTTTATTGCAAGGTCTGTTGCTCCATAAATGTCCAGTCAAAAATTCCATGTGTCATCGTTTGCGCTATCATTTTTCTTTTCTGTGGGCAGTTACTAAAGGCTGAGATTCCTTGGGTCATGACAGCTAACCCAAGTATTGAATTGGGTGCATAGGTATTGAATTTTGCACAGCAAGTAAAGGGCACTTTACTACTCCAATTTGAATGAAGGGGAAAATGTTACTTTTTATCTTCTTAAAAAAAACTAAAAATAATTCATAAATGGTTTATTATAAGAATGACTAAAATAAAAAGTAATATAGTACAGGATCTGAGTAATCTTATAGAGAGCCAATTTTCAAATGCAAACATGGTTTTCTGAGACAGCTGGTATATGTAAGATCTAAATTCAAAGGTTTAAAAATTCCGCAAATGTCTAACCTTACAGGAGCTTACTTGTTACAACTTGGCCTGACAGAAAATATTTAAAAAAACAAAAATCTTGATTTGACATACAATAAAGCAAGGATTCCTTAATATCTCTGTATGAGGCTGACCGATAAGTCATGTTATCATTAATGCAAAAGCAAGGTAGAACTAGTTGTGTAGAAGCTGAAAGCTTGCTTAAGGCTTATTCCTGTTGCAGTCACGCAAGGCCATGTGAATGCACACACAAGGAAACGATGTCTCAGAAGACCAATTATTCTTGAATGGCTTATGATTTGGGGACTTGAGTAAAACATTGCTGAAGATGTTCCTTGTAACATGCAAAAAATGCAGGTTCCAGGGTGGTAAGAAGGAAGAACTTATTGGAATTGCCTACAACCGGCTGATACGGATGGATGCTAGCACCAGTGATGCCATCAAGACATGGCGGTTCAGCAATATGAAACAGTGGAATGTGAATTGGGAAATAAAAATGGTAAGCAAGGACTTTCCCACAAAGTTTTCTGGGCATGCTGAAATCTGGGACATTTCAATTAACTGAAATTTTTGGTTTAGGTTGTTTAAGGTATGAGATAGTATTTCTGCCTTCAGGCTTTGGTGATGTCGTTACTTTTATTTCTTGGGTATTTTTTTTTTCCTTCCTTCCTTCCTTCTTTCTTTCTTTAAAAAAAAAAAAGCAAAACCACCTCGTATCTATTAGTAGCCCCTCTTAATTGTGAAGCTAATTGTGGGCCTTTGTTTTGTTATGAAGAAAGAAATGGGAAGAAGAGCATAACATCCCGATCTTTCTCAACTCACAAAAAGCAGGGTTGTTCTAAGTAAAGAAAGATCTTCTTATATCACACTCTTAGATAACATTTTGGAAATCCAGAACTTGGTAGATAAAAGAATTCATGTGACCCGTTGAAACAGCACTTACTAACTGATGATCTGACCATTTAATCAGTTTGTGTCTTATTGAAGGATGTGGTGTTCCCTTGAAAAGAAAGCTGAATAATGAAATAGAAAGCTGCACAAAATCCTTCTAGCTTGGTAATCATAAGAAAAGATATAGTCAAATGAACTGCCTCTCAGAGAAATCTGATCCTATAATTTACAGTAACCTGTGGAATCCAGGAGGCTACATTCAGCTATAATAGGGGTATCAAACTCGATTTCATTGAGGGCCGCATCAGGCTTGTCGGATGCAGGGGTTGAGAGGGTGTGGCCAGGGTGGGCGTGGCAAACTCAACGTCACTTGTGTCGGGGGCGCCTGTGGTGCCCCGAGCGCTCTGCTAGAGAAAACAGGCTCCCAAGCTCTGTTTTTGGCTGCAACAGCTTCCTGCAACCCTCTGCCAGCAAAAACAGAGCTCGGGAGGGTCACATGCTCCATTTTCACTGGCAGAGGCACTGTGGGCGAGTCCTTCACTGTTTCCAGGGCAGCCCTGCGGGTCAGATCTAAGCACCCCATGGGCTGGATCTAGCCTCCCGGCCTTAAGTTTGACACCCCTGAGCTATAACATAACGGTATTTAACATTTCAAGTGTTGAACATACCGTTGAACATATCTTACTAACATTATTTTTTTTGTAAAACAGGACCCTCAAAGAACTGGCTGGACTTAAAAGTCAGTTTCAAAGCAAGGATTTCCTTTTTGATTGCTAGGTTACACTGGCTGCAGTTTCCCCTGCGATTAAATCACTCTGGTCATCAGAAAACAATAAGGTCCCTTTTTTGGCTTTACATCTCAATCTCCTGTGGACATGAACCTTCTTATGCAGCAGCACCCACACTTCACAATATGCCAAGCCATTCAAACTGGGTAGGCTTTGTTAGCCTACTTTCATTCATCATTCAGTGCCATGATCTGATCTATATACAATGGACATGAATTAATGTTAACTGTAATTTCGTAGTTCAAATGTCTTGGCAAACGTTGATAGTTGCATACACCCAACCCTCCTCTGTTTCTTGAGAATGGGCAAGGACAGAAGCTGCTCTGAGTTTATATTTATTGTAATATATTTATTCTTAATCTCTGTGTGAGCTTACTGAAAGTATTGAAGCTTTATAAATCATTTGCTGGATTTCTTGCACTTCTAGGTGACTGTAGAATTTGCAGATGACGTCCGAGTTTCTTTCATCTGCACCGAAGTGGATTGCAAAGTGGTGCATGAGTTTATTGGTGGCTACATTTTCCTGTCGACACGTGCAAAAGATCAGAATGAAAGCTTAGATGAAGAGATGTTCTACAAGCTTACCAGCGGCTGGGTCTGAGTTGGATGAGACTGCCTGTTCTACTGACATAAACTAAATGGTGATATTAATATTTAACTCAAAAGCTGTTCTTGGAAATATGCTGCTTAATCAAATTAAGCTTGAAGTGTATCTTTTTTTTTAATATGGAAACTTGCATTAGCAGATACATTTTTACCTGCGCTAAACAGCGCTTCCGTTAATCTGCTACGCAAAACCAAAACACAGCTCATGCCATGCCTAAGTTTGTGCCTCTTTCCCCTCTCTCAGCAAAATGAGGGGCTGATCAGGTTAATTTCTGACAAATGTAAGCTAACCAAATCATTTTTAAAACAAAATTAAAACTCTAAAGCCATTTAACTATTTAGATACCCAGGGCCTAATCTATATGAAGTGTATTTATCATGTTTAATGCATGTTTTATGAGATTTTATATATATTGTAATTATGTGTTCTTCCTTCCTATGTTTAAGGTAGAATTTTTGGAGTGCAATCCAGGAAGGTTTGTTTTCTTTCTTTCTTTCTTTCTTTCTTTCTTTCTTTCTTTCTTTCTTTCTTTCTTCTTTTTCTTTCCTTCCTTCCTTCCTTCCTTCCTTCTCCCTCTCCCTCTCCCTCTCCCTCCCTCTCTCCCCCCTCTCCCTCCCTCCCTCCCCCTCCCCTTCTTCCCCATATATTTTAGTGGGGTTTGTGCCTGGGCTCTCCTATGCATCATGGTGCTTGGTGGACTGTGTCCTTTATGCCGTATGTTTTTTCACACTACATTAGCCTTTCTCATATTGCTGTTCCTCAGATGTTCTGTAACACAATTCCCAGAATTCCAAGCATTCTGATTTCGGTATTGGGAGTTGATGTCTAGGACATCTGGAAGCACCAACTTGAGATCTTAAGACATAATCAGGTCTGTTACAGGAGCCTGAAGGTTTTTTTGTAAAAACTAGCCTGAGTGGCCTTGACAAATACTGGCAAATTTGGTTCTAAATGTATCTGTTTTCCCCTTTGATAATCATTTCTGTGCTCTTTCCTGTCCTCTGTATTTTTTAACACTATATTGTATTACAAACACCTTTAGTATTCACCAGCATAGCCACTCTTTATCTAAGATGATATGCAAAATCTTTTCATAACAATATGAAGTAAAGGTCTATGAAGTATAAGAATTTTTGTTTTGTTTTATGTAACTAATGTAAAAAGAAAAACACAAATTTTATAAATGTGTACAGGTTTTTCTTTTAAAGCTAGCCTCACAAGCCAAAGTAGGAGGAATCGCAATAGTATCAAATATATTAGCCTTACAGTATATTTTTAATGTAAGTTAAGTTTCTGATTTTGTTACAGCTGTGCCACAAAGCCCTTAACAACAATTTACTTTGTTGCCTGAGTCTGGGGAGGGGGGGGTGTCTCACTTTAAGATTAATGTTAGCCCCCAGGGATCCCCCAACACCAAGGGATAAAAATCAGTGTTGTCTTCAGTAGTCTAAGACATATGTACAAATGCATTGTATTTTAAATAAAGGTTGGATCTTTTATTTAACATTTAGTCTTTGTTTCAGTTTTTTGTTCTAGCCAGTGAAAATTCACCTACACATTGTTCATATGAATTCAGCTGATGTATTGCAGCATGTGGAATGTAGAATTGAATGTGGCATTATAAAGATATTAACTCGTGCTTGGCATAGCATTCATGCCCTAAAGCAGGGAAGGGTAGGAATTTGAGGCTAGGATTGGAGGGCTGTATGTTCTCTATAGAAAGATCTAGAAGCCTCTGGAATTTCATAAGTAGTGGGAGGGTTAGACTATGAGGCACATTCACATATTCAGACAGGTAAGCTGGGAGCAGAGAGACACTGGGGAACAATTTGACCAGGTAATGATAATCAGGATTACCATTTGTTCATTATGAATACTCAGCATTCATAATCCAGCATTCAGTCTGGATTCAGGAAAGAAATGCTTACCATTTGTGAGGAAGTCCATTCTTTAATATATTTAAAATTAAATATATTCCATCATCACTTTCAAAAAGGAAAGTCACATCAACCTTGACAAAACGCAAACTTGTTCTCCTTCCCATTCATCCCAAACCAAATTCAAACGGATTCAAGACCTTTCTTTTCCTTGGATATAATCCTGAAGAAGGAAAAACACATTCTGGAAACTGCAACCTCTTTCCGGCAGATCAATCAGGTTTTGCATTCCAGACAACATCCAGGAATAAATAACTAGTAAATATACAAAGAGACACACTTTCATGCATTCATTTCAGAAAAAAAAATAGCTTCTGCTGCATTTCCTCTTATTAAAATCATAACCTTTTGGCCATAATAAGATTTCCTAGATTTAGTCAGTCATAAATGTTCCAAAGTCAATGGTAATTATATTTGGGAGATAAGTTGACCTGTTCTGCAAACCAGACTATAAATGTTTAGGGCTAAACATTGTCTCTGCAGCCTTGATTTGCAAGAGTAATGAAATCAAAGAGCTATGTTATAGAGATCAATTCTGCTGGAAGGATAATTACTTAATGATGTTTTTTTCCTCTGTGACACGGTATGTAGATTACCAAACAAACAAGATCTGACTCTTATTAAGTATAGTATAACAATAGCTGAAAAATTATATGAAACTTTATCTTGGGGCTGGGGGATAGTTGTATCATCCTTCATTATATTCTTGCAAAAGTTCTGTAAGGAGAAGCATAATTATCGATTTCAGCCTAATTGATTGTTTTAAAACCATTAAACGTCAGAATGTATTTATGGGGAGGGAGTTGAAAAGAGTAAGGTATATCTCCTTCATACAGAATTGTGTGAGTAATGGGACTGCTGGAAGCTGCTGTCAGTGCTTTTTTTTGACTCTTAGCGTATAATGATTGCTCAGATGATCGTGAATGACAAAACACACAAAAGTGAAGTTCACCTTCAGTGCTTAGGTATGATTAAAAGAATTCTAAAACAGTGTTTTTCAGTCTCGGCAACTTCAAATTGTGTGCTCTTCAACTCCCAGAATTGGATTTGGCAGTGGGGAAAGACTGTTAATGATTAATGTTGCTCAGCTTGAGAAGCACTGTTCTAAAATGATGTGACAAGATAACCAGTAAGAGGGGGATCAACATGAAAAACAAAGGTTGCGTTCAGATGTTCTAGAATTCTCTTTGTGAAAGCACCATGTTTGAGGTAAAGTTTCATGAAAGCATATCCATCCATTCTTCTTTTGAGGCTATGGCATGAAAATGGTAGCCACCTCCAACAATTGTTTTCATGGGAATTCCTGTACATCAGGGGTGTTAAACTCGTGGGCCAGATGCATCACGCGCCAGCCACGCCCACCCCAGTTTAGCAAAGAGGGGGGGGAGTTGTGATACGTGATGTGAAGACAATGTGACGTCAAGAGTTTGACACCCGTGCTGTATATGAAAGGAAAGCTAAATCAAGTCAGCCAGTCCTATGAAGAACTGCTTTAATATTAAGGGCACCAATTATGCTTTCTGTGCAGCATGACATCTGCTTTCTTTAAAAGCTGAAATCTAGTTAGTAATAAATCATGATTAAGCCGATCATGAATATAGCCAGTATTTATCTGAATTCCAGTCACAGGAGGACATAAGCCAGAGGATGTAGAGTTGTATTCACATCCTGCTTGTTAACTTCCAGAAGCATCTAGTTGACCACTGTGGGAAACAGGATGTGCAACCAAATAGGCATTTGACCTGTTAAACAAAAACTTTCCTTCTGTTCTTCTAATCCTCAAAATTAGCACCAAAGTTAAGGATGTCCAACAGCTTTCTAAATATTGTGTCCCTTGTTAACCTATTGTTGGACTAGCTTACGTTAAAGAGTAAGGGATAGGAGGAGCTGTGGAGCACACCTTGAATGTTTGGTAGAATAAATAAACCTTAGTTTTCTAAAAGCAAATATATGTGTGTTTGGAGTAGGAGATGAGGTAATCGTTTTCATGCATTCTTTACTGTCCACTGGAACCAAGATTATTATTTCTTAAAAACGCTGTCCTCCTTCCCATGGCCTTTGGCTGACCTGTTTTCCTTCTTGTATCTAATTCCCAGCATTGACTTCAGCTGTTTCAACCACCTTCTTTTCTATGTTGTGCGGGTGCATTGCCTTGATCTTTGTGTAGGCTATCAACTCAGCAGTTTCCAATGAAATGGCTAGTTGAGTAATTAAGTGACGCAGCTAATCAAAGCAGGATTGTGTGCCTCACTGTGATCACTATGTAAGAAACTGCGGGCAGAGGTTGAAGAGACAACAACTGTGATAGGATCAAATACAGAGCCAGATGTTAAGAACATACAGATTCACATAACACACCAGGCCAAAATGTTTTTGACTACTTTTTTGACTCAGTATACATGCAAACCAGTGGTGGGTTGCTCCCAGTTCGGACCGGTTCACAAGAACCAGTATGAAAACTGGCAGGAGGCCCCGCCCACCGCCCTGGATGTCATCATCGGCGATCTGCGCATGTGCAGAAGCAAGGCGCGCAAGCGAAGCGAGCGTGCGCGTATGATCCCGTTGCAAACCGGTAGTAAAGGTTAGTAGAACCCAACCCCGATACAAACCAAAGAAATTTCATTATTCTCATCATAAACCATGGTTCAGATAAACAATGACTGAATTGGATGTCTATTCTACACTGATTATCAGGTGGAAAATTCTTGCTAATAAAAGTAGCTGATTTTGTCCATTACAATGAACATTAATTAGCCAAATTCATTTAGCTTAGTGTGTATTACCCAGCTCATGGAGTTAATTTGTGGTTCAGTATGTCATGTGAATCCAGAATTATAATTAAATAAATTATAATTGTTAAAACATGGGTAAATGTATCATATAAGCTGGGATCCTCAGTTTATGAAGTATGTGCCCTTCCATTTTGCTGCAACCATGGTAGCCCAATACCTGTGTGAAGGCATTCATCTGCAATTCAATTTTGTACTGGTTCAATTTAACCACAGCCTTTCCATTAGGAAAATAATGTAGCATAAGGTGTATGGTAACCTAATCAATGAACATTGGAGTTGCAATGGGGTGGATCTACTGATGCTGCAGGATTCCTAACCATTCATGATTTGAGAAAAGCTTTTATTTAAAAATAGTGCACAAAATGTTTCTGCTTGCTGTGTATGGGATTGGTGATTCCAGAATGGAGCCTGCTATAGCTCTCAAGGTATAAGTAGTCAGGTAAAGCCATAAAGAAGCACCCAAAATGTCAAGTAATTGGAATGGGAGAACCTTTTTCCTCTTTTCTTAAAAAAAGAATCTAGCATCAACTACTGAAAATGAACAGTGAGAGATATAGAACAAATAATTTAAATTATGGCATCTGCAACCAGATGCCATAATTTGTAGTGTAGTTATGACTTCTAATATACAGGTGGCTTCTACTTGCTTAAGGAGGAGAATATCAATGCCAATGCTTTTGCTGGGTGGAGAATTCTGGGAGTTGAACTCTGCCAGGCTTAAAGTTGCCATGGTTGGAGATCCCTGATCTAGATGATTGTTGGGGGCAATATGCTGACTCAGTAAACCGCTTAGAGAAGGCTGAAAAGCATTGTGAAGCGGTATATAAGTCTAAGTGCTATTGCTATATAAAACACAATAGTCTATTTTTCTCCCATTGTGCTGAGATTTACCTTAGATTCTTAGAAGGGCCGGCGGTAACTCTTTACTGCCATCTAGGGACCCCATGAGAAAATGATCTGTTTCCATCTGCTGAAAAGAGTAGGAAGACCAACTGTGGGAAGATTCAGAGAAAATTCACCGCTTGGTCCTCCTTCCCTTTCTCTTCCGCTCCCTATCCCTGAAGCAGAGTTTGAGCTTTTGCACTCCAGCAGGGACTTTTCAGAAGCTCCAGCTGGGATGCAAACCTGTAATAAGTAAGTCTTGCAAGAACTTGAGATTTGAGGAAGCTGTACAAGTACACATTGTGACAGTTAGGATAGCTTAAGGGTGATGCTATCACTCAGCCTCCTTTGAAGCAAGAGACTGCATTAAAGTTTCATAAAGTGGCATTTTGGAAACGTCTGGATTTTGAAAGCATGCAACGCAACATAAACACACATTAATGGTTGTCTTTCCGGCAGTGCCCTCACCACCAGTGTTAAGGAAATTTTCCAGACTGGGGTGGATCTACGGATGCTCCAAGCTTCATCTTGCTGCTTGTTCACCCTTCTCCTTCCTACCAATTTTCACAGCCTTATAGACTTCTCAAGAGAGGTAGGTCTTCTCATGATTTGCCCAAAATATAATGATCTGTGTTTCGTCATTTCTGCCTTGAATGGGAACTCTGGTTGATTTATTCAGTGATCCATTTATTTGTTTTCATGGCTATCCATGATATTCTCAGGAGTCTTCTCAAATATTAAAATTTAAAAGCATACATTTTCTATTCTGCTTCTTTAAAGGCCAGACTTGATTTAGGTATGAAACTAACACAGTTCTGTCTATCCCTCCCCCGTTTTTCAGGAGGGATAAATTTCTGGCCCCTTAGATTTGTCGTGTATGTTCCTCACTTTTATGTGGCTTGTGGGAAGCGGGAAGATGAGGATTACCCTATTAAAATGTAAACAGTTGCAGGGGTGGGTGGGTTTGAGCATGGAGGGTGTTGGTGAGGGGTATTGTGGGTAAATTTGCATACAAATGTACGTGGTCCTCACCCACCACTCAGTATTATACCATCAAGATGAAAAAACATGTTCACCTCTGCCAAAAAGACTTTTTGCATTTCAGATATATTTTACTTGTTATCCCTGCTTTCTTTTTCTTTCAACAGAAGAACAAAGTGTGCCTCTTAAGTTTAACTAAGAACAGAAACAAAGAAAGGTGCTTTAAACTGAGAGGCTGTGATGCAGATGTGGGAAAAACTTTCCCAGAGATTTCTCTAGCCTATTGCCCACCAGGTATATACTACTGTATTCAGGGGTGGGTTGCTGGGGGTTCGCAGCAATGGTGGATTGTCCCTGGTTCGCACCGGTTCTATAGAACTGGTAGTAAAACTGGCGGGAGGCTCCGCCCACTGACCCCGACGTCATCAAAATGCTTCTGCGCATGTGTTGCGAACCGGTAGTAAAGGTAAGTAGAACCCACTCCTGGTTTGCAAGGGTTCAGAAGAACCACTAGCTAAGATTCTGTGCAGTTTGGAGAACCCCCAAATCCCACTCCTGGCTGGTCCCACCCACCCCTCCCCGCCCGTCCCAAGAATCCCCACGTGGCCTGTTTTGGATGCGGCAAAAAACGGGCCTACCAGAAATTCGGGAAGGCCTACCTGGAAGTTTGGAAGTAGGGGCCTCCAGAGGGCCTCTGAAGCCTGGGGAGACTGTTTTCGTCCTCCCAGACGTTTGAGGAAAGCCTCCAGAGCCCGGGGAGGGCAAAAATGCCCCCCAACATGGTGCAGGAGGCTGACTAGGCCATGCCCACCATGGCCACACCCACCCAGCAACCGGGCAGAGAGCCCCTTGCTAAAATTTTTGAAGCCCACCCCTGACTGTATTGGACCACAGGTAGCGTAACTTCTGGCCAAACAGACCATTATTTGGTGAAGAAACCGCTCTCCCTTAATCCAGTTCTTAGTAATTTTTCTTTTCTGAACAGGAGGTGAGACTGCTCAAATTGTTGAGATAATGTGACACAAGTTTAGATAATGAATGCTAATGGGAAGGCTTACCTGCTTTTGGCATCTGCTATGATTATGCTCTTCTCTTGGAAATGGAACTGCTTCTGTTTTTAAGTTTGTTTGTTTTTTTAAAAAAGATAAAAGCAAAAACAGACCAAACTGTTATTCTGAGCAACAGAATAATAAAGCCATGTGATCTAAAACTATAAAAAGTTCAAACAGCACATATGAAAACCACATGAGCTCCAGCTGGTTTGTGTGTGTGTGTGTGATGACTCATGGGACTTTTATGGCCAATTTGACCAGTAGCTTCATGAGAGTGACTCACTGGTCCTGCACAAATGTGGGTGGGGTGATGGGGAAATAGCTATTTTTGATGGGGCTGTTTTCCTATACTCCCCATGTGTATTAAATTTATCAAGCAAATAATGCCTAGATTGGCATATTTTAACAGAGCAGGCAAAGCTAATCTCTATTTAGTAATGGCAAAGCAACCCTTTCACTGTTTTTTCCCCCTTTCTTAACTCAATCCTCTCCAAATGTGTTGAGGGTAAAAAGAGTTCTCTTCCCCAAAATGCTATTCTCCAGAAACTGCAACTTCAATACTTTGGGACTCCAGGGAGTTACATGCAGGTGTCCCTTTCAGGATCAGGTGTTCCTTACTAAAATTCTAGTACATACAGAAACTGGCTTGCTGTTTGCTATCAAGCTGTTTTTCCAATATTTTAACGATTATTATTGTTAACACTGTGTTTCCTATTGGAGTCCTTGATGCTCTCTGAGCTTGGTGGGTATTTTGCAGACATTTCATTACATCATCAATACGCATATGCATCATCAGTGTACTGATGTTGTTACCTAGTTTGGTAATGAAATGTCTACAAGAAAACCACCAGGCTCAGAGAGCACCAAGGATCCCACAGTTCAACCCTGAGCTACAAATATCCTCTTCTGTACTACTGCTTTCTTTCCATGTTTTAAGGTTGTGCTAGCCAACAGGACGTGGTGGCTCAGAGGCTAAGATGCTGAGCTTGTCGATCAAAATGTTGGCAGTTCAGCGGTTCGAATCCCTAGTGCTGAGTAACGGGGTGAGCTCCTGTTACTTGTCCCAGCTTCTGCCAACCTGTTACTGTTGCTAGTGCCATCTTCAGATAGACATCATTCTGGAGCTTTTTTGGCTGCCCACTTCCCAACCTGAAAAGATCCAAGGGGAGAAATTTTCCCCATGGGGTCTTCCCTTGCAGGGATTAGAATGGCAGAGGCCAGGGAGGTTGCTGATGGCCAGTCATGAGGTATCTAACCACGGGGGCGCAGTGGTTAAGAATGCAGTACTGCAGGTTACTTCTGCTGACTCCCGGCTGCCTGCAATTTGGCAGACTCAGCCTTCCATCCTTCCGAGGTGGGTAAAATGAGGGCCCAAATTGTTGGGGGAATATGCTGACTCTGTAAACCGCTTAGAGAGGGCTGTGAAAGCACTTTGAAGCGCTATATAAGTCTAAGTGCTATTGCTAGCTCAGTGGGAAAATAAGCTTTTCACACCCATTTCTTGGCCATTTGCTAACTCAATAGGTGACATGCAAGAATACTCCACCCCACCCGTGTGAATTACATCAAATTTCTCCTCTCCTCTGAAAAAAAAAAATCCAGATACAAAAACTTCCTTTAAATGAGAGCAGGTTAAAAAGGAAATCAGAATACTTCTTTGCATCACCAGGCTAAAAGAAAGAAAGAAATTTAAGGAGAAAGCATATTTTTTCTGAGTCGAAAGAGTGGTCGTTCTCCATTGTCTACTGAAGTGCTCAACAATTCAATGTTCTCCAGATGTTTTGGACAGCAACTCTCAGCCAGCTTGCCCAGAAATTTGTCAAGTATTATGAGGGTTGTTGTCAAATCCATGTGGAAGATATGGATAAAGTATCTGAAATCAAATCTGGACGTGCAGTTGTTCTCCGAGTCTTTTGGAAGAGGCAGAAACCCTGCTCAGCATTTAATTCCTGAACCTCTTTGTCTAGAACTAATCGTGCTACATCCCAAAGGGCTCTTCCTTCTTCAGCAAAGAATATGGGAAGCATCCAGCTGGAGCCTGTCTGCCTGTCACAGCATCTCCTAAACTATGGCAGCCTTTACTTTTCCTTTAACCACGTCCGGAACTGAAAAACAATAAAATATGCTGCAATTGAAAAGAAATAATTCTTCTCTGTCCTGAGTAAAGGAGGTATTGCAACATCCCTGCATTTTTAAAATTCTGCATAGATAACTCTTTGAAAGAATAGCTCAGAATTTGCCTTTTCTAAATTTAGGCAATGCAGAGTATTCTGCTATTTCTCCTTTTCATTGGCTGTTTTCATTGCACAGGAAGCAGATTTGACCCTTTGCTGGGAGAGGGACTCTACTTAAAGACCCTGGATAATGAGAAAGGCAAAGCCCTCATAACCCTCAACTCAAAAATAAACATCTTGGTCAGCTCATCTTTATCAGAGGATAACTGCAGGTCAATTTTTTAAAATTTATTTAAGATATTTATCACATCACATGAGCCATTTAACGGGGTCCATCCCGCTCTGGGTTCCCCAGGCCCTCTGGCAGAACCAGGTCTTCAGCGCCCTCCAGAAGAGTGTTAGAGTGGGGCCATTCTAATATCTGGGGGAATGATGTTCCAGAGAGAGGGTGCCACCACAGAGAGGGCCCTTCTTCTGGGTTCCACCAAGTGTATCTCCCTAGGACAGTGATGGTGAGCCTTTTAGGGACAGAGTGCCAAACTAGAAGGCGTGTGCGCCAGAGCACCGGAAACCTGATGACCAGCTGGCCAGCGTGCCTTGGAAACCCAACGACCAGCTGGCTAAGCTGGGGCGGCGGCGTGCATGCCCACAGAGAGGGCCATAGGTTTGCCATCACGGCCCTATATCATTTCAGACAAATGGTTATCCAATCTCTTCTTAAAAACTTAATGTTGGAGCTTAATGAAGCATGTGTAGCAAGAAAATCAAGGGAAATGCCCATGGTCGTTTCAATTCCTTGTGTAAGTTGATGGCTCAGAAATTTATTTATTTGTTTGTTTGTTTGTTTGTTTGTTTGTTTGTTTGTTTATTTATTATATTTCTATACCGCCTTTCTCCCGTAGGACTCAAGGCGGTGTACAGTCAAGAAAAATATAGACACACAAACATCATAAAATTGCTAATTAAAATTATTACTTAGTTTGGTCAATTAAATAAAACCCAGAATTAGATAACATTTAAAAAATCATTCACATGTTCGTATGTTTAGCCCCGCCTGTTGGAACATCAGGGTCTTGAGGGCACGGCGGAAAGCACGGAGATCAGGGATATTCCGTATCTCCGGGGGCAGTTCATTCCAAAGGGTTGGAGCCACCACAGAGAAGGCCCTCCCCCTGGGAGTCGCCAGTCGACATAATTTGACTGACGGTACCCTGAGTAGTCCCTCCCTGTGAGAACGAACTGGTCAGTGGGAGGCTATTGGTGGCAAAAGACGGTCTCGTAGATACCCAGGTCCTAAGCCATGGAGCGCTTTAAAGGTGATAACTAACACCTTGAATTGCACCCGGAAGACCACCGGGAGCCAGTGCAGCTCGCATAGGAGAGGTGTTACATGGGCGTAATGAGCTGCGCCCATAATCACCCGTGCGGCTACATTCTGGACCAGTTGGAGCCTCTGGGTGCTTTTCAAGGGGAGCCCCATGTAGAGAGCATTACAGTAGTCCATACGGGAGGTAACTAGGGCATGAGTGACCATGCGCAAGGCGTCCCGATCCAGAAAGGGACGCAACTGGCGGATCAGGCGAACCTGATAAAAGGCACCCCTGGCCACGGCCGTCAAATGATCTTCTAAAGATAGCTGTGAATCCAGGAAGACACCTAAGTTGCGGGCCCTCTCTGTGGGGAGCAAGATCTCATCCCCTATTGTCAGTGATGGTACCAGCTGACTATACCGGGACGCCGGAAGCCACAGCCACTCGGTCTTGGAGGGGTTGAGTCTGAGCTTGTTTCTCCCCATCCAGATCCGCACGGCCTCCAGGCAATGGGACATCACAGCAAGGGCATCATTGGGGTGGTCTGGGGTGGAGATGTATAGCTGATGTATAGAAATGAGAAGTTACCAGGCATAAGTGCTGCAATTTTTTTTCCTTGTAGTTGTTTCAAATATTATTCATATGCTTGTGAACCAAAAATATAGGTGGGGTTTTGAACTGCAAATGGTTACAAGAAAACTGCTGACGATTGCCAGGGACCTAACCACACAAAGCAATTCTCTGAATTTCTGCTCAGAAATTGATTTTGCTACGCAAAAGAGTTTATTCCCAAATAATATGGTCTTCATTAACTACGTCTATTCTAATGGGTAGTGCGACAGAGCTGAGTTGCCAAGATCCAGATGAGCACAAGAGGGCAGAATAGAGATAGAAAGCTGCTTCCTTCTCTGATTGTGGAAATGTTTGCTCCCCTGTTCTGACTGTTCATTCTAATGCAAAAGTGAATGAAATCATGAAAAGATGAGCTTGATCTCTACATGCAGAAGGGCAAGTATGATTTAACATCAACAGAGACTTGGTGGGATCACTCCCATGACTGGAATTTAGCAACTGAATGATACTCCTTGTTCAAAAAGAATGGAATAAATACAAAGGGAAGAAGTATGATGCTATGTGTTAAAAACATCCATTCCTCTCAAAAATCCAAAGGAATCAGGGGTAAAATCTACTTACCTTCCCTACTGGCTCGGAAGTGCATGCGCCGCATGTGCAGAAGGTAAAAAACAGGTTACTTCCTGGTTAAAACCAGGAAGTAACAACGACCGGGCGGATGGGCGGAGCCTTGCGCTGCCATCGCTACCGGTTCTCTGAACCACCGCCGCCATCACTACTGGTTCGGTCAAACCGGTCCGAACCAGTAGCATATCACCCCTGAAAGGAATGCATTCTGCAAACTTGTACAGAGCATCTGAGTTAAAAGATATGGGAAGAAAAAATGTAAACCATAAATATGGGGAAAAAAAATATAAATTCATCACTACTGGTTTTTTTCCCCTCATGAAGAAGATGTACACCAGGGGTTTCCAAAGGTTGGCAACTTTAAGACTTGTGGAC